GCTCTTCTGCTGCAAGGCACCTGGCCAAGTTGGCCTCTACTTCCGTCCCCTTCTCCTCCCTCCTGCCGTTCTCACTGCTGTCATCTTGTCATCACATTGAAGAGCCAATCACGACATGTGTTTCGCTTGTGATCCGGTCTTATTCTCGGGATCTGCCCCACTGTAACCTGTGCCATGATCAGTTGCAGGTAGGGACGGACACTCTTAACACTGTACAAGCGAACTGTGAAGCAGTCCCGCTGGCCGCGTCCAAGCTGACAGTCGCCCTCCAGGAATTCCTCTGAATACAGTGCGCTCACAGTTTGAGACCACACGAATCCTTCTGGGACTGGCAAGTCCTTTTGGTACCTACCAGCAAGTCACTGCACCCGTTCTTCCACCTTCCCTCTTCCCCCCCCCCGCCCCTTGTCTCCTGCCCCTCCCCCCCACTTGATCTCGGTCACAGCTGCCGCTGGTCCTCACTGCTCTGCTTGACTCTCAGAAGTACCACTAAACACGCAATGGCGCCGTGGCTTGGACGTGCCCAAGGCTCTCGCTTCGCCGTCTGAATGAGAGGCACAAGCAACACCACGACCCGCCCACCGCATTGCCCAGCCGACTTGACAGGCCGACTCCTCGGACGACATTGTGGTGTCTGTAGCCAGACTCGACGCTACTTGCTCCCCAAACTCCGTCAGATCCACTCGTCGTTTCGGCCTTTACTCTCCTGACTTGCTGGACAAATCCAACAGTCCCAGTTCAAGCCCAGGCTCGTCGAGAACTGTCGCAATCCGGGGAGGGGGGCTCCATCCCACGTCGATCCCGCCTGCCAAGTCGCCCAAACTTGGATTGAGCTAGGACTGGATCCTCGCAGCAACCTCAAACCCACGACGACCCCTCGAAAACGACTGCTCTTGAACCCGACCCGACGACGAACTCGACGACGACGACGATAGCCGCCCGCCGGTATATGCAACAATCAGCCAGACAGACGAACAGACAGACAGACAAACACATACACATCGCGGTCGGCTGACCCTTCTCTTCGCCTTCATGGACGCCGCCGACGTCTTCCGGCAAGGCTTCAACTCCTTCGTGCCTCCGAGGCCACGGCCCGTCCCTTACAACGTTGCTCGCGTCGCTCGAAACCCCTCGCCGCAGGACGACGATGATGGTGCGAACCACCCAGGACGCATCGCCCATACCTTGACAGCTTGTTGTCGCTGTCGCCAGGTGAGCCCGCCACTGCCCCTCATCTGCCTTGGGCCGTGGGCGCTTCCGACTTGCCTCTCAGATGCAAGCGCAGCCCATGAAGTCGCACAGGCCATACTGACCAGTTCGTTTCTCTAGAGGAAAACCAGATGCGATCCGACACTACCGCGCTGCTTGCCCTGCGAGCGATCCGGCTCCGTGTGCGAATACTACGATGCGACAAAAGGCCGGAAAATTGGTCGCAACTATGTAGTCAAGCTACAGGAAAAGGTCCGACAATTAGAGAACGAATTGAGCATGTACACCGACGAGGACAACGATCACCCCCGCAGCAACGAAGACTTTGTGCGTCCTGGCGGACTGGTACGACTTTCAGAGTCGGAAGAAACGCCGCGGTACCTAGGTCCCAGCAGCGGCATTGCAATGACCCGCCTGCTCATGGAACAGGCCAAACTGTTCACCGATTCCAAGCGCATATCTGAGCTCATTCCCGAAGTGAGAGCGAGACGACAGACACGCATGCAATCGATCGTCATGACAAAACCCACCAAGCGAAAGAAGAGCTATCCCACTACAAGCGCACACCCCGCCACTTCACTGCCCGCGCGCCAGGTCGCCGATCGGCTTGTCGACATATTTTGCCAGAGATGTGCGTCGATCCCCGTCTCGTTCTGCTCGCATTCAAGATACTAACATGTTGCACAGCTCAAGTTTTCTGGCCTACCTTGCACGAGAAACAGTTTCTCAAAGACCTGGAAGAAGTCTTCGCCGGTGGAACGTGCTCCTACAAAAACTTTATCGTCCGGATGGTCTTCGCCATTAGCCTTCAGAAGCTCGATATCCAGTACGCTGGACTTGCCGACAGCTACTACCTGGCCGCCATGGAGTATTTTGAGATCGTGATCCGATCCAAAGATTTGAGGACTCTGCAGTGCCTAGCCCTCATCGGGCAGTACTCGATGCTTACTCCCACGCGAATGGCCATTTACCATGTTGTGGGCATGGCAACGCGCATATGTCAGGCTGAGGGACTTACCGACGAGAAGACGATATCAGCCGATTATTCGTTAGGCCTCATAGACCCCCTGACCCTCGATATGCGACGCCGGCTTTCATATGTCACCGCATCAATGGAATTTGGCCTTGCCCATAGCATGGGACGCCCGAATGGCATATCAAAGGGAGACGATTATCTGGACGTCGAGCCCTTTGCCACTGTTGACGACGAGTACATCACTGAGAAAGGCATTCTCCCTGCTCCGCCCAGTGAGAAGAAGCTTGTCGCATTGCACTTTTTCAAGATGAGAATGGCGCAAGCCGAGATCAAGCGGTTTCTCTATGAGAAGAAACGCCCTGAGCCCAAGAACGAGACACATCCCTGGTTCAGCAAGATGGAAAAGGACATACAAGACTGGGTGGACCAATCACCAGAGAACCCAGCTTGGTGTAAACCTTGGTTAGTTCGATATTGCCACCTTAGGTTGAAGTTGCTAACACTGCGTAGGTTCACTGGCCGAGCCCACCAGATGCGCATTTTCCTTCACCGGCCGTCTCCGCAAATACCCAAGCCATCTGGCCGAGCCGCCCTGATCTGCTATGAGGGCGCCGCGTACATCATCAACCTGTCTAAGCAGCAAATGGAAAAGGCGGCTGTAGACATCACCTGGATCTTCTTGTTAACCCTTTTCATGGCTCTGAACACGATGCTTTGGGCGGTCTCATACTCAGAAGTTCGGCAGGCACATTCTCGAGAAGAAGTCGATGAGCTTGTACAGGTTGCGCTTGACATTGTCGATCAAGAACAGTGCGCTCAACGATGGCCCGGTTCGGAATCGGCTTCCAACTTGTACTCTGTCTTCGCCAAAGCCTGTCTCCAGGTCTACGACATTCGCGACACCTCCACAGTTGCTTCCTCCAGCCATCTCAACACGCCATCCTCCATCTTCGATACGGGCTCTCCCCAGGGTTCCGACAATTCGGCGTCTACTGCGCCCTCGTTCAAGGTCAATGCGCCCCAGTTCGGAACCGTATTCGATGCCACCCCCGAAGCAATGAATCACTTCGGATACGAAGCGAACTATCAACCGATTCACCCAACCTTCCGTTCCAATTCGATCTTTATGGGTCCTTCCACAGATCAGCTCGGTCGACGATTTTCAGCCTATCCTCCAGAACTACCCCTGGATGACCAGACGCCGCCTGGAAACACGCCCGTTGGTTATGCGTCCTCAATGTCGACACCGGCGCAGCATTCTGGCCATCTTCCCACCCCTCCTGAGTCGCTCGGTGCGAACCAGTTGAATGCTGGTACTCCTGGCAGTACGACGTCGACAATTTCACCACCTTCGAGTGCCACGCCTACGATGCCGCAATCTTCGCCAGCTATGCCATTCACGCCGTCGATGAATGCGATAAGCACCAACATGTCGCCGCCTCCGCCGCCGCCCAAGATGACGCAACCGGGACAGCAACCTCATCCTCCCCAGCGGGAGCCCACATTTGTGGTGCCGCCGCCTCCGCCGCAAGTCCAGCAGCGTCCGCTGCCTACACCTAGTGGGATCACGGATTGGTTCTCGCCGCCGCCGCCATTCATCACGCCGTACAACTTTACCCCCATGAGCAACAGCTTTTTTAACGACGGATCCCACGCACACAACTACACGAATGCTCCTGAGCTCGGACTCGGCATTGGGCAATTCAACTTTGGTCCTTTCGGTGGGCCGCCGGCAGGCTGGAACGCGGAGCGACAGGGTAGTCTGAGTCAAGAACAGCAGTTGGAGCTCATGACGGCGCTGGAGACGGACGGGATGGGCGAGATTGATGCGTTTCTGAACATGGGCATGGATGCGGGCAACCAGGGCGTCAACACGAGCGGGTGGTCCTAAGGCCGTCGATGCATTTCACGGGGTATTCGTTTGGATGTACCGGGAGTCTGAAGCGGGGACACGGTGAACAGCAGGAGACGGGAAGGAGGCCATGGATTCGTTGGAAAAATAGGACAGGCGTTAGGGGTGCCCGGTGGCCAAGTACATCTTACTGTCCATGGTTGTCCTGATGTGTCAATTCGCCGTGAGTCTAGTGCGTGTGCAGAGGAGGATATCAGCGACTGGTCGCGTGTGGCTGCGGAGACACTGACTCCGGTGTTTTCCTATGGCGTCGCCGTTCTCGATGAACGACCGCCTTTTCACGATCGGCTTTGTGTTGTTTTCTTTTCCATGCAGTGGTGCCCGAATGTCTGACTGCCGTGGCTGGCATTCCATCATCTCGGAGCCAAGGTCTCCCAGCGTGTACCCACATATGTGTCTCTCAGGTGCATATCGGACGGTGAGAAGACAGGGATGCGGCCTCGCCATACCACGGTTCAAGAACAATACTTGCACATTGGGGAAGAGTTGGCTCTCCGGGACAAACATCTTCGGGAGAGACTCCTGGGGTACTTATACATCCTGGTTAAGTAATATGGAGCAGCAGCTAGTTATCATGTCTCGTGGGCATATCAATTTCCCCAGATCAGAGCGACTCAAAACTCGGGATTCCGCAGGCCACAAACCAAGGACCAACCATATAGCTAAATGATTCACAATTCACGGCAAAATACACAAGACAATGTATAGACATATATTTACTGAGCGCCGGCATGGCTAGACCGACGACTCGGAAGCATGTACAAATAAAGGCAAGAAAGGAGATACATGTACTGAGCCGGGGCGGCTTCTCTTTTGAAACCCTCGCCGTTCGTCTTGGACTTTGTCCTTCTCATCACCCACGGGGAGGCCGCGGAGGGCCGCTCGCAGAGCACCGTCGGGCGCTTACAGGCACTGGGAGTACCACTGGTTCTGGGCCTGGCAGGTCGAGCCGGCGACGCAGGTGGTGGGACCGGTCCAGCCCTGTCCGCCGCACTGGCCCCACTTGGGAGCGGCGGCGCCGCCGGAGGAGGCGGTCGTGGTGGTGGGGGGAGCAGCGCGGGTCGTGGTGGTGACGGCGGCCCTGGTGCTGGTGGCGAGGGTCGTGGCGGGAGGGGGAGCGACGACAGTGGTGCCACCGCTGGGAGGGCTGACGGCGCCCTGGTTGAAGGTCGAGCCGATAGGGCCGAACTTGATGTTGCTGAACTGCACCGTGGCGTTGGCCTGGTTGGCCTCGGTATCGGCGGGCGTGCCGGAGGTGGTGGGGCAGCTGCCGCGCTCGGCGCCGGGGCCGGTGGATGTGGTGGGGAAGGTCGAGTCCAACCACAGCATGTTGGCGTAGTGGTCGTTCCACAGGGACATGACGAGGACCATGGGCTTGGAGACGGCGTCGCTCGTCTGGGCGAAGCCACCGCGCTGGTCGAAGATGTTCTGGTCGCCAAAGGCGGTCTTCTGGGCCTTGCAGAAGGCGGGGGTCAGAGAGTTGCCAGGGTTGCCGGCAACGGTGCTCTGAGAGTTGGCGAAGACGACGCCGTTCTGGACGTAGAAGCGCTTGATCTCGGAAAGATCACCAGTGCTGCCGCCGGAGCGGAGGAACTGAGTGACGACGGTGAGCTTCTGAGCAGTGTTGAGCTTGAAAGCAGTGCCCTCGCCGTAGAAGGTCTTGTCACCCTGGCGGTACGAGTTGAAGTCGCAACCATCGGGATCGCAGTCTCCGCCGTAGCGGTCAGCAGAGTAGGTGCCGCCGCACTTGTCGCCCTGGCACGTGTGGTAGGCGTTGTTCTGGCAAGGGTGGGGAGTGTAGGCAGTGGAGATCTTGTTGGCCTCTGCAAAGCTGTCAGCATGTGGCCGCATTATTAGATTGTAGATTGGCAGGCAACGTACCCCAGATATCCATCTCAGCGCAGCAGGCACCGAGGTTGCCGACACCAGAGTTGGGATCATCCGCAGCAGGGACCCAGCCGGCAACGTTGGCCTGTAAGGTGATGGTTAGTCAGGCTTCATCTGAGAGACTGAGGCTGTACTGACAACACCGCCAATGAACTTGACATCGCGGGGGCACTGGCTGTCGCAGTAACCAGTACCGTACTTGGCACCGGCCTTGTTGGTGGAGTACTTGGAAACACCACCATCCAGGTCCATGGAGACAAAGTACAGAGCGCCGTTGAGACCGCAGCCGGTCTTGGAGACGTCGACGTCGAAGGTGAACTCGTTGCCAAGGAGGTTGAAGGCCTGGTACTTGGTGTCGTTCTCCATGAGGTAGACACGGCTGCCAATGTTGGTGCCGTACTGGTGCTTGGTGACGAACTTGAGGGTCAGGGCATTGCCGCTGGTGGTGACACCGTAGGTGTTGGCGTAGTCGGCGCCGTCAACGCAGCACTGCTGAGCGCAGGTAGTGCCATCGGTACCGCAAGAGGCGGTCCACTTGTTGCCGTCGTAGCAGTTTGTGGATCCGGAGACGGTGTGAGTCCATCGCCAGTTGGAGTCGAGGACGACGGAGCCCGAGACGTTGGTGCAGCTGGAACCACCGGTGCCAGTGCACTTCTGCCAGGTCAGAGGAGGGTGCGTCTCAGCCTGAGACGTGCAAGCCTGCTGGGCGCGGGCGGCGGCCAGGAAGGCCAGGAGGACACCGAAGTTGGTCTTCATTGTGATGTGCGGGTGGAAGTGGAGGATCCTGAGTGAAAGGCGAAGATGTTGTGAGTGGGATGAAGAACTGGGATTGAATTATCGAGCGAACGTCCATGGTTTTATAGAGATTTCCATGAACCTTTTGGTATCAGGTTCCATGTCTTAATTGATATTCGAAGCCAGCATCGTGTGGTGGCAACAAGGGCCGCGCCAGCGGACTCGATGTCGGCGCGCGGACCGTCGAAGGTGAGAGCCGCTGAGAGCAAGCTGTCGCGGCGGTTCACGATGACCAGGAAGATCAGGTTCCATGAGCCCAGAAGGGAGTGGCGAGCCGCGTCGCTGCAGCTGTCCGAGAGCCTCGTGCCAGGCAGGACCTTGAAGGACCGTGTCGAAAGCGGCAACTAAAGACCCAGCAGCCGCGTCGACGTACTATGGGAGAGAAGCCGAAGATGTGGTCAGACTTCGCGCGTGGCTGCCCCAGGTCTGGGCTTGGGGGTTGACGATGTCCACTGGGGTCATGCGGCTGGATCGACTGCAGGGGTCCACAAGGTTGGGGAAAAGGGGTTGCCGATACTGCCGAGGATCGTCTTGGCAGCCAGCCATAATCAACACGGAGGGCTTCTACCGAGTGTGACTTTTTGTTCGTGGAGAATGGTCGCAGGGGGCGTATAGCTGGTACGAACCCGTTCCATGGCTCGTCGCGTCCTAGAGCTGGGGGTACGGCTGTCCTGTGAGACTTCCCGACGTATCGGTTGGTTATTCTTGGTCTTCAGAGCCCATCGAAACATCCGGTTAATTTGCTGGTGGGCTCTACTCATCAATCGTCGGCGTCTCCTTGGTATGCCCGGTTACAAACAAGAAGAGAGTGTTCGGGATCTGACTGGGTCGGATTCCGGGCCTAGGCGAGCGGCACCCCGCACAAACGTCACGCCTATTCAACTTGAGACAGACACCAACTGCTCGGGAAGAGAGCCTGGAGTTGTGATCATGTCATGGTCAAAAAGTGTTCATGGACGTTGACGATGCGGCGACTTGCCAAGATGGCCAAGCAACGATCCACGATGTGCTCGCATGCCAAGGGCAATTGACGTCTTGGCTCCCGTTCTTGGCGTGGAGGCGGTGCCCGTGGTACTGTTGCTCGAGGACGACCAGGCGCATCGTTCTCCGATCGCTCTCCTTGGCAATCAATCCTCGGAGAAACTACTGCAGAACACTATGGCCTGCCAATGCTTCAAACCAACCCCTGTCATCTTGCGACGGAATAGCCTACCGACCGACGCAGCGTGCTGCGAGCGGGAGCGATACCAACAAGCAGTCGCTCTCTGTATTCGACACCAGCTGCCATGTTTGCCCCTTGGATTCATCGTCGGTTCTTCGGGAGGCCTGTACCGCAAAAGACTCCACGCCAAAAGACCGAGTACCGGAACAGGTGCACAAAGATGGGTCGATCCGGTTCCTGGTGTCGTCCCCCACAGATTAATCTGACGAGGAGCATCCCGGATCGGCCACGCGCCACGTCGCATCCTGCGATAACAAGCGCTCATTTTCTCCAGATAGATTAGGTGCCGGTAGGTACGGCGGCAGCAGCCTCGGAAGGTAAACAGCCTATCATATCCTGATGGAACGGTGATGCTGGGGTGAGGTAGTTCGGGGAAAGCTGTTTCGACCCCTCCTTCTTTCGGACATTGGTCTTTCATGGTCGACGAGGCGAGTCGTGGCTGTTGGAAATGAGCGCAGAAGGGTCGTCTGATCTCCTCAAAGAGAACCTTTGTGGGGTTTTCGGAGTGACCCTGTCGAGAAGTCGAATCTGGAAAGAGAACAAGCTGCTGCATCCAGGTAGCTGGCTAAGGGCCACACAACCCACCCTGGCTGTGCCCTTTCGGCTGCGCCCTTTCGGCTGCAAAAAGAAAATGCCCTATCGAAGACGCCGAGTGGGAGCCACGAGATCCATCGTGCAGCAGAGACGTAAGCCCAGCTGAGCCATACAGGGGCGGATCGCTCGTCCCAATCAACGCCATACGAGCTGGATGGTGCCTGAACATGGGCGTAAGGACCTCTAGAGGGACCTTGATTCCCCTCACGCACGAGACGAATGCCATTCGTTCCCAGGCCGCCAAACAGGCGAAAAGCTTGGCCTACCGTGCCGGCTTGGCGATCTCGCAGGTAGTCTGGGCCTTCATTTCGGGGGGCGCGCGCCGTCAGCGTGGGCCGAGGCGCGGAGGTCCATGGGTGATGCTCCGAGGATTTCACGTCCCAATCTGGGATCGCGGGGTGGCGGGGTGACAGTGGGGTAACGGTACGTGCATGGCACTCCTGGAGCATCGAGAAAAGGGACAAATGAAATGGCCGTGGTCTCACCGCGCGGCCGTGCTAGGTTGTCTGTACCTTCATTTAGGTTGATGGTTGAGGAGGAGCTGCGAAGGTGGACAAGCTCAGCCAGATGGAGGTCGTGAGTTGACGTGACGTTGAAGCAGGATGACTAAGGCAGGAGGTTTGGGCGTGTATCAATGGGTGAGTACGTGCGCACGGCCCAATGCCGTGCGCGTTCAATCGACGTCTTCTTGCTTCAGTGTCGTAGGTGTATTACAGCCACAGATGTATGCAATGACAAGAATACTGTACATGATCCTCAAGAAGCACTCATTGCTCGTCGTTACCATTCGCGGCAACCAAGGCAATGTTGACCTCATCCACCACCTGACGCCGAGAGAGAAGCATCCCGGTATCACAATAACATAACCCTACAGCCAACCGGCTTTCATACCCAGCAACGCCTGTCCAAGACTGGACTACCACTGACCATCCCGGCATCACCAAAACCTCGAGCTCTCAGTACCCTTCCTCCGCAACGCAGCCTAGTCCGCCCAGTCCTATCCCATGCGCGCGTTGGCTGATGAGTGCAGATGCCTAGTCTGACGGGGAAGGACGCGGTCTCGCTCGTACAGAAGACCACAGTTGTGGCATAGAGACTGGAGAGAGTTAGCTTGGTGTTCGCGTTTCTCGTCTAGCAAACTGTGGGGAGACTTACTCTTGGCGCCGTCGGGCCGTCTCGTACAGCCCAGACGCTGGTTCCTGGCATGTGACAGTGATAGCACTTCCACGCCAACCTCTCTTGATCCGTCAGCGTGCCGCCCCCGCCCCCACCATAGCCTGCACCAGTGTCAGGCGTACCGCGGCCGCCTGGCGTGCCCGAGCGACCGAGTGGGCTCAGACTGCGGAACCGCTTCTTCTTCTTGGACCGCTCGCCTCTGCCCATGCGCTCCTCTTCCGCATCGACGATGCCGCCGAAGCCAGAGAAGGGAATACCGCCCACGAGACCTGTCGTAGAGCTGAAGCGGGCCGTCTCGCGCCGCAGGCGGCGGATTTGCCGCTCGCGGTCACCTTCCCTCTTCTCAATGTCCTCCTTGGTGAGAATCTCAATCTTGGGCTCCCACTCGTCGGCCAGGCTTTCAGGGTCATATCGCCAACCAGCTTCGGCCCCGTGGGCGGCGTCGTTGGCAATCTCGCTCTGCGCTCCCCAGCCGCCGACCAAGCCGCCAGCCTCGCAGGCTTCCTTCTTGAGCCGCAGCACGGCCTCGTAGATGGCATGCGTCATGGCAGCAACCCACTCGCCCGCCAGTCCCAGATCCGCGCAGGTCTGCTTGGCAAACGCCTCGGCGGTTCCGGGCGGGTGGAGCAAAGACCACTCAAATTTGTCTGTGTAGAGAGTCGAGGACAAGTTGATGTTGAGGTTGACGATGCATCGGTAGGTATCGTCCGGGTTGTAGTCTTCGGATTCCGGGGTGATGGGGGTCGCGGCGGCCGTCACGTCAGGCAGGGCCTTGACATTCTTCAATAACGAAGGTGTGGCAAGGCCTCCGTTCTGTAGAGGCGTGTTGGCACCGCTCGTCGCGCGGGCGAGAGGTGTGGGGGTCGCCGAGTCGTCTCGGTTCAGAAGAAGGGGTTTCGGGGTCCCGGCAGGCAGATTGTTACTCGGCTGGGTGTGAAAAAGAGGGTGTAGCGCGACACCAGCATACTCCTCCAGTTGGGTGCGAATCTGTTTGCTGATTTCCGACACCACCTGTTGCCTGTTTGGAAGATCGAGGTCCTGGACCAGAATCTGCGCAAAGTAATCGGTCGTCATGACGGCCTCGTGAAGGTTCCACATGAAAATGTCGCGCAGGCGGAAGGGAGGCGTCAGCTCCTGCGGTCGAAACTGCGGGAGCGTAGTGTCGACGCCCGGAATGGCCGCCCAGGGCGCCGCGGGGACGTAGGCGGGTATGTCGACGTCGATGCGTATGGGAACCAGCGTCAAGGGTAGGAGAGCTTGGGCCGAGTTTTGCTGGTCACTTCGCGTGAAGCGACCTTTGGCGAACCATTCTCGCGACACGCCTTGGACCTCGACAGGCTCCAGCGTCTCCTTGGCGACTCGTTCTGGTGCGTCCTGCCTGTTGGCGAGATCCTCCCCCCTCCTCAAGCTTCGCAGTCCCGTGGGACGGCGCCTCGTATCGTCATCGTCGTCGTCAATCTCATCATATCCATCTTCGGCGTAGTTGATGATGGTGGTGCCGCGCTTCGTCATTCGTGACAAGGGTCCCGTGGGTGCCGATGGCGCGACTGCCGGTGTGAGGAGGGAATTATTGTAGATACGGAGTCGCGGCGCGTACGACGATTGGAACGCCTGGGGTTTTTGTCTCGTTGTTTTCATGTTGGGCGTTCAATTGGGAGCTTCGCGGTTATCGCATGTCCGTCGCGCAATGGACTGGTTGGATGGATCGACGGATCGAGGCGCGTCACTCTCTGTTTGTGACCGCGACCTGTCGTGTCAGGGCAGGGTGGTGGTATCGGCCTCAGGGTCGGCAAGCAGCTGGGGGAGTGGAAGAATCGTCAAGAGACTTGGACGTGTGTTGTTTGCTTTCGCCGTCAGTGATGGGTGGATTCTCGTGATCAAGGTCCTGTGATGTCCGCTGGTGGTGGAGGGAGGCGCGTCAGAAAATCTGGCGGGAGGAGCTTAGTGGGTAAGGTGGGACCCGACATTCACCGAGAACACACCGACGCTCGGGCCTCTTCTCTCAGCACTGGGTCCATCCAGATGTCGTACACAGTTCAACAGACCTCCCTCCTGCGCAGAACAGACATTTCTTTATCAAATCCGTATTTCATTTCATTTTCTATCACAGATCATGCTGGGTATGCTGACATGGAAGACAATTCGATTCAAATAACCATGTTGCATGGACTACAGCTCATCTCGTGGGTACGTTGACATGGAAGACACTTCATTCAAATCACCATGTTGCATTGGCTACAGCTCATCTCATGAAAATAAAAACCTCAAACTAAAAACAATCCCAACTTCTCGGCGCTTGTCCATCACCACGGCAGGGGAGAGCCGTCATACAGGAGGAACTTTCCACCGCTGTTCTCCCGGGTTGCCTCGTCGATCAGCTTCACGAGACCATTGATGCTCGTCTCGACATCAATGGCACCAAAGTCCTTGGGGTCGACGCCAGGACCGATGGCGCCGCTGCCCATATCCGTCAGGACGAGGCCGGGGTGGACGACGAAGGACGTGAGCCAGGGCTCCTCAAAGTGAACCCGCTTGATGAGCCAGTTGAGGGTCGCCTTGCTGGCGCCGTAGGGGCTCAGGCTCGGTGGCAGGCCGAGTTTCTCGAAGGCCTCCTGGTTGCCGATGCTGCCGAGGAGGGTCGAGATGGGCAGGAAGACTGGGTTGCCGGTCTTGCTGGCCTGGAGGAGCGGCCGCGTGGCCTGGAAGAGGGTGAGGGGTCCGACGGCGTTGACGTTGACGTGCTCCCGCAGGAGCTCGGGCGTCGTGTTCGCGACCGAGCTGCCCGACTTGGCGATGCCGGCGTTGGCGATGACGACGTCCAGCGAGGTGATGCCGTGCTTGCTCTGGAGCTGCTCGACAGCGGCCGCAGCATCCGTGTCGGAGGCCGAATCGATCTTGACGATGATGAGGCGAGAGCCCTCGCCCTTGGGGAGCTGCTCGAGGGATGACGCGCTGGCGGGGTCCCTCGCCGCTGCAATGACAGTGACGCCAGGCCTCTCGAGAAGCTTGGCAGTGAAGCCCTTGCCAAGACCGCGGTTCGCGCCAGTCACGAGGAAGGTGGTGGGGGCAGACATGATGGTAGCGTTTGATATATTGATACGAGGCGTTTGAATGAAGAGAATGGGAACAGAGAGACTCGGACAGCTTGGGCAGCTTCGTTGTTGTCATATATACAACCCCCTCATGGTTTCATAAACCACGCGTCTTGCATCATGTGGAGGCTCATCCCACCTTTCTCACGAGCTTCCTCGAATGTCAGGGATAGGAAGTGTCCGGAGAATCAACTGGATGGGTCGAGAAGACGTGCATGATCACCAATCAATGGCAGCCAACCTCGGATTCCACTATGCACTCATGGGGATAGGAATGGTGTCACTGCAGAAACTTGGATCGTCTTTGTCATACCTCAATCGCAAGATGCGGGTTGTTCGAGTCAATGCGGCGGAAACCCCGTCAGTAGCGCAATGCAGGTAGGTGGACGTACATGATAGCCGGGTTTGACGCGCATGCATCTGTCAGTCGTGTAATATTCCCGATCTTTTAGGCACTCAAGGCACTGCACTTCTCTGGAGAGCCATCAGTAACGCCGATTCCAGGAATTCCTCCGGCGCACGCTCATTGACCCGCACCCGCCACCGGCACCACATCCGGGGGTGGTGGGGAGCGAGTCATGTCTTTTTCGTTTTATTTTGGCTTTGCATCTGGATGGTTCTCACCGGGGGGCTTTACATAAGCGGCCGTGAGGGGCGTCCGTGGACAAATGCTGCCCGACTGGCGCTAGAGTATCAGTAATGATCTCCGATCTGTAACCAACACACCTGAGGTGCGTTCGGATACCCCGCCGCCGCATGCCGTTGTCCAGTCTACCAAACCCAACAGGCAACAGACGTGACGCCAGACCATGGTGTGAGGTGTGAGTGCGAGGGTCATGACAATATCCAAAGCCCTTCTTGGTGCGCAACCGGGGGGGGGGGGGGGGGGGGGGGGGTTGACCTTGTCGATCCGACGGCAGTAAGCCACATCTTCATGGGGCACACCTTTCGTCACGCCTCTGGTCTACGACTTGGCCGCCATCTCTCAGGCCCTGTCTCATGTATTGGTGGAGTTACTCTGAGTAGGCTCATCCGCGTCCAGCGTGCTCACGACATGGAATGTTTGTCAGCTCAGATGAGGCTATGCGATGATTGATGGGAGAACATCGAGAAGGAAGCCAGTGTGTCATGGTACGTGAAGAATGCATGTGATCAACCAAAGTGCTCTTACCCTGCAAAGAAGGGCTATTTTTCTAGACCATCAAGATTTTGTTTTGAAGAACATGAGAGTCGCTGGAAGACTGCGAAACCTGCATGTCAGCCTCTGTGGTTGGTGACTTGTCAAGGTTGATGAAGACAGTCAACTCTTTGAAGGGCCTGTATGATTTTGCCACCTTCAAACGAAACAACGGAGGCAGATTACCTAGGCAACGGAATCTCTCCAGCGTTCCTTCGTCGAGCGCATTGGGGAGTGTCGCAATTTCGAGGCCAAGCTTTGTTCGTGTCTCACATGGATACCTTCCCCGGAAGACCTCTTCAAGTGATAGGAGAGAAGTAAGCACGGCGCCGAATTTGGTGAGAATCCCAAAATTGACTGTTCATTAGATGCGCTAGCAATGCCGTGAACCATGGTGGCCCCCTAACTGCCGGAAACAGACCGCGGGGTCCACTCCTTCGGCTCAACTCGAGGTCCGGCGACTAAAGTTTAAAAGAGTCTCAGCTGCCACGTCGAATGTTGACGGCAGACCTGGACCAGATTGTGTTTACATCGTTACGTGCGAACCCAATTCCTCTCAAGTCATCTACGTCTACCCATATTCAACATGAAGGCACTCGTCTCCAATCGCTTCATTGCGTCCCGCCTGTTCAACTTGGCTTTCAACAAATCGATCTTCACACCCGGCGGCAGCGTCATTGAGGTTCCGAAGCCCACCATCGGCGCGAATGAGATCCTCGTCAAAGTCAAGGCTGTGGCCTTGAATCCGACAGACTTCAAGCACCTCGATATTATCTCGCCGCCCGGCTCCATCATTGGTTGCGACTACGCCGGCGAGGTTGCAGAGGTTGGCAGCAACGCGACCGCACTATGGAAAGTCGGCGACCGTGTGGCTGGCGCCGTGCACGGCGGTCTGCACCCCGATCGCGGCTCGTTTGCTGAATATCTCAAGGTCGACGCCGACCTTGCCTGGCGCGTGCCCTCGACAGTCAGCGACGCCGACGCCACGACCTACGGCGTCTCTGCCATCACTGCAATGCTGAGCCTCAACCTCCGACATGGGCTCTCCTGGGCCGACGAGGGCCAGCAGGCGCCGACCGGCAAGGAGATTTTCATCTACGGTGGCTCCACGAGCGCGGGCCTCTTCCACGTCCAGCTCGCCAAGATTGCTGGATACAAAGTCATCACGACAGCGTCATCCCGATCGGCCGACCTTGTCAAGAGCTACGGCGCCGACGCCATCTTCGACTACAACAAGCCCAACGTGGCGAAAGAGATCGTGAAGGCCCACCCCGCCATCGCGAAAGCCGTCGACTGCTTCGGCGAGGGCCCTTCCACCGAGATCTGCACAGAGGTCTTGCGAAACTCCGGCGGCAAGGTGGTGATCCTCCTCCCGAACGGAAAGTCCAAGGTGCCAGGCGTCACGCTCGAGCTGATCATGGCCTACACGCTCATGGGCAAGGCCTTCCAGTGGTTGCCGCCGGTGGGCCCCAAGTTTGAGGCCAGCCCCACCGACCGGGCCGGGTTGGCGCGCTTCTACAAGTCCCTGCCGGAGCTCACGGCCACGCTGAAACCCGTGCCCGTATCGGTCAGCGAAGGCGGCTTTACCGAAATCTTGGCCGGACTGGACAAGCTCCGACAGAAGAAGGTTGCTGGTTCCAAGTTGGTGGTCAAGTTCTAGGTGGTTGTGAGGTATGCCCGTGATTTTTCAGCCAAGTTTGAAGCTTTCTTTGCCGACATGCCTTCAGCGCGAGTCACTTAATATCTCTAATTGGATCTTTTACATGCGCAACATGATTATGACGGCCCGCGGTCGGTGATGTGTCCCGCTGCAAGTATTGCCTCTCGGCTTTGTCACATTTTCAAAGGGAAGCTGCGACCACGATGCGGCCGAGCTAGCTCATGTTTGGGGTTTCATGCCTCTGGTGAATCATCATCAAAGTTCCTGCCGCCTGCTCACCTTCCAACGTACCTACCTCAAAGCGAATGACGATGCCAACCGGAGCTGCTCGGACTCGGTGTATAAGCATGCCGAATGGCATTGCGATGGATGTACGACAAACGTGAGTACCATTACGTGTGGGTCCTCCTGGTCTATATTCGTGATCGGTCGAGCTAAGACGCTACCATAGCAATTCAAGGAGACCGACCTACGCGTACCCCGTGTAAGTCTGCTCCTAAGGATGCGTTCTGTGATGCTGATCATAGACTCGCCATCGCATCCTTCATCGGTCTCACTCATACGTACCACCAGAGAAGAAAGGTCAGAGCGCTCAAACAAGAATCGACGCCACATCGTCCTATGCTCCTGCCGAACGAGGGCACTTCTTCCCTCGCAAGGCTTTTGACATGGCAGGCGTTCGTCGGGTGTTCAACGTCGTACCTGCTCCATCTGCAACTCGGTGTCAAGTGAAGCAGAGCACGTATCACGATGAATGGAGGCAAGCATCGATTCATCGAAAGAGTTCTCGTCTGGTACTAATTTGTCCATATCTTAAAATGCGCACCTCGTTCCCTAAACAACTTCCTCCTTGCCTAGGTACTCATCTGTGCTCATCTACCTCTTTACTTCACTCTCTTTGTGTCTGATCCGCAAGCTGAAAGCCCTTCAATCTCGTCATTAATTTCATTCAAACAAGCACGCACCTTCACGATCTTGTCCACTTCTTGATCCCTCCAGCCCTTTACATGATGTTCTTCAACATTTCACCCGTCACTCTGGCTCCTGCCTTCGCTCTGGTTGTCTCTGCTTTCTCTGGTCCTCTGGACTCAGAGATGGCACTGTCGCTCGCCAACACTGAGCGAGGTCTCAACGGCCTGGCTCCCCTTACCTGGGATGTCCAGCTTGCCAATGCCGCCATCGATTGGGCCAACTACCTGGGTGAGGTTGGTAGCGTTGTCCATGCAACCGAAGCTGAGCGCCCAAACCAGGGCGAGGTCATTGCCCACTACACCTCGACGTCCCCTGACGACGCCTCAACGCACCCCATGACCCACGCCATGGTGGACTGGCTTGGTGAGCGCATCAACTATCCTCCCGGTGCAGTCATTGGCCCGAACTCTGGCCCTTATATTCACTGGTGTAGGCAACACGTTGATACACTCTCTTGTAACGATTACTGATGATCTATGTAGCGCAGCTCGTTTGGTCTACCGCAACCGCCATCGGATGCGGCTTCAGCCAGTCCAACCCGTCCATTTTCGAGACTTTTGTTGTCTGTCGCATTTTTCCCGAGGGTAACATGTGCGTTGAATAGTTCTTTGCGTGCCTTTTTCTATTCTGCTCCCGACCATGGGTTTCCTCCGTCCTCTCTTCACTGCCACGGTTCGGGTGAAACCAGATGGGCAACATGCCTGTGCCATTGCATCACAGCACTCCCACCAATCGCATCCAACTTGTTTGCTTCCACTCACATGGAGCAGAAGTCCTTCGGTGGAGGGGCCACGTGAACCGCATTCATCACCTTGCATTTGAGCTGACTATTCGCCCTCGCAGCATTGGACAGCCTCCCTTTCCGTCGACCGCAACCAACATCACACGCCGTCAGGATACCTCCTCTGGCCCATTCGAGGGCGAAATCACCCACTATACTACCGGCCTTGGGGCCTGTGGGTACGACGATACAGGTGCTTCTGGCATCGTCGCCCTATCGCACGAAAAGATGGGTGCTCCGTCCAACGGCAACCCGCTTTGTGACCGGCGAGTGCTACTTTCCGCCAACGGCAGAACTGCGGAGGGCAAGGTTCGCGACAAATGCATGGGCTGTGCGATCGAAGACGTCGATGTCAGCGAGGACATATTCATCGCTCTTTATGACGACCTTGGTATTGGGCGTGGCTCCGTTACGTGGGAGTTGATTTAAACCACTCTCTAGCCGGCCTATCTGGTTTACATTAGGTACACTGCGCGATGCCCACGAGGGGCTCATAAGAGGCGCATCTCAAGGCATAACCCAAAAATCTTGGACGAGTAGAGAAGAGGTATCAGAAGCGGAAATAGCTCAAGGATCTTACTGTTGTTGTTGACGTAGCTGCAAAGTCGACTGTTGACAAGAACTGATACTTGAAGTCATGCTCCCGCGAACTTGTGCCGTTGACAGTGCTCTTTCCTTAAGTCTTCATCATGTGCCTTTCGTCGGCTCAGATGATTGTTGTGTGTGATCATAATGCATGAGCAGCCTTGGGTTGGGTCTAGTAGTCCAGCCGTCGGCCAAGTGCAGGAAATCCCGTTAGACGAGATCGGGAACCTAACATGGATGCTGCCCAACTAAAAGTATGCCTGTGCTTCGTTCCTTCGGCCACCCACCAAATGACATTGAACACGTTGCCTCCAACATTTGGATACAAGGCGGCCCTGATGTCACGACTTCCAGCCTTCCCTTTCTTCAAGAGTCTGTTTCCCCGCTAGGTCGGGGCTATGGCAACATACTCACTACAGCAGAAGAGCTGAAGGCTTCCTACAACGTGGCCCCGATTTACGTCCTCTATTCCAATCGTCGTGAACAGTGGGTGACACGCATCAGCTTATGGCTGCAAAAGATACCTTGTCCTGACGGACCTTCGTACTGGCAAGAAGCCCGGTCGCACCAAGTCTCATGTCACCTCAATGGCCCACGTCAGGTCCTAAAGCGGGACTCGGTCAGGGCATGACAGAGCGGCATGGCCCATTGAGCAACATGTTGCGCAAGGCCGCCACTCAGAAGCAAGCCACTGCAGCAAATCGGATGACGTGGATCAACACTGGTCTTTGAGCCTCTCAACCCTACGTTGGAAGCCAATTGTCCTGGTGAGGTCAGGAAACGCTTCCCGCAGGATCTTCGATGAAGCACAGCAGCTGACGGTATTGCACTGTCATCTGACTCATCTCTGCAGTGCCACGTCCGTCCGAGATCCTTGCGTCGACATGCCTCGGCTTTGAGGAGTCCAACACAAAGCTCTGATCCGGTTAGATACTTCCAATGATGAAGGTCAGGCACGTGAAACTTGTCGACGGGCATTGGTCGTGACACAGTTACGAAGGCGTCCCACAGGTCGTTCTGGGCCAAAGGGGGAGCGGTCAAGCTAACAAAACGGGAGCCTTGTTGGAGAGCCAAAATGATGTATCACCAGAACCGTTCGAACGAGAGAAGAACCCGGTGCTACAGAGGCAGTAGAATTGCGCTGACGTTCATCAAATCTGTGTGGGCGCGCCGACTATAAAAGGGCGAGCTCCAAACCTGAAGCAAGTTGAAAACCCTCAGACCCCCAGCCTTACAAATAACCTTGAGCATATCAAGTGCAAACATCGAATACGATACTTTCTTGTCTTTAAGCAACTATGCACTTCTCTACCGTTCTCGCCGGCTGCGGCACCCTGCTAAGTTTCGCTCTCGCGTCTCCGACTTCTCCACTGCTCGCCGCTCGTGATGAAACTGTCAGCTTCACTGTCTTCACTGATAGTAATGGCGAGATCGAGTCGTTCAGAAATGCTCAAGCTCTGGGCGTCGACATTTACGGCCCCATCCCCGACGACGGTGTCGTTCATGCCGACCATGTCACGGCCGAGCCTGGCACCAAGGCCTGGGCCTGGATCCGCGCCCAAGCCGACATTGACTGGACCAAGGTGTCCAAAGACAAGCGGGACGCGGTGCTGAAGAGGCAGGGATGGGCGAACATTGGGATCGGCATGTATGCCCAGGACAACTGTGAGTGACAACCTTGTCTCATCCGGGCGCTCGACCCGCTACACGAAACGAACAGATGGCTGACAGCCCCTGGACAGGCGGAGGCCAGGCCTCGTACTTTGACAATGTAGAATATGGCACTCATCACTTTGATGTCGTCAACTACTACAGCATTGGCATCACCTATCGTGGCCTGCGCGACGGCGAGACGCTTGGCACCTTCCGCCAGGCAGGCGATGACTGGTGCGGCACGTTTGTCAATAACATCGCACATGACTCGAACCGTAAGTAGCCCCAGCCATGTTTCGATTGGCAGGAATATGCTGACTTGGATTCTGTAGCTGGTTGTGGTGCCGTTGGCCCCATCAACTGCTTTATCCTCACCCTCAGCTAAAGACGCGACATATCACACCGACATCCACAAAAGGGATGGCAGAGGATGGCGGTCTGTCAACAAAACTAAGGAACAATGATTTTCATAGAACTGCCAATGGGTTTGAATCCGGTTTCTCAATTTTGACAACGCAGGCCGCTTACAGGGAAAAGCTTGGAAATAGAGCTGTTGAAGTGGGTATCAATGGAGGGGTTGGGACAAAGGACCATTTCTTACCCTACCTACTATCTATTTTCCTCTTCTATGGCCATGATTCCTTATTCTATCAAGTCAGACATCTCCAGCATATGTTCGAAGCCCTTCGCCTCCTCTTCCGACACCGCCTGCACATGCTCGTTCGAGAGATTTAGATCGACCACTGAGAATCTTTCTACTTGGCTCTGCCAGAACTCAAGGTCCCTACTTAATCCCAAGCTCTCGAGCATAAATGGCAGTTTGACTAGGGGGTGTTCAACCTTTTCGACAAGACGAGAAACCCACTCGTATATGTCTTCTGGTTGGCCGTGTTGACCCTTTCGGACGAGCGCAACACACAGGCGCACCCAGTGAATGATGTACATCTGGTCCATGCAGCCTTGCGCAGCGCGAAACTCAATAGTCCCTTCAATTACTGACTCACCTTCATTGGTCAAAGTGTCAGTTTGCCGTAGGTGTGTCAGGGTGGCCGCACCGCGAGTAGCTCCGTTGCAGGTAAGCGCTGTCAGATCGCCTAGGTTTATCGTGCTCCAGATGAGCCCCATGGATTTCTGTACCAACGAGGACGGAATGCATCCAAGTGGCACGTGTTTCCTCAAATCTTCCTCAAGGCGGTCCTGTTCCTCGGGATCTTCTGTGTGCTCCACAAGATGGCAAGATCCATTGCCAGTAGCTGCGTCAGAGCTGGTCGAAATCGGGAGGCAGTATTTGCCATTCGGCCCGCGGCGATGCGGTGCGATGAACAATTGCGTGATGGGCTCGGCGAACCAGATCACGGTCACGATCCGTTTTAACTGAAGCAGATCAAATTGCTTGTTGTGCGGTGAGACGTGAACATGCAAACCCGCCTCTTTAGTAATGATCGTGCGGAAACTGTTGCGCATGAGTGTAAGACCTTCGGCAAACCTCCTGAACCCAGCGGCATTGGCACGACCCATGGGCGAAGCGACCTCCATAGCGGCAAAACCCTTGCTGTATCCATCAACCGGGTCTGCCATTTCCACGAGGCTTATATCGTGTTGTACTTGCCAGGATTGGAAGATAATGTTGAATTGAGGATGGATAGTAAAACCCGAGTCGAGTGCAAGTTTATGGAGGTACACTTTGTCCTGATTGTCAGAGATGGAGGCGAAGAACCCGTTGTTTGCAAGGAGCCTCGCAACTTTGACACGGAGAAATTGGCTGCAGTCCTCTTGCGCGACGATGTCCACGAATAAGACCGGTGATCCGTCAATTGTCGATTCATCATCTCCAAGACGGTCAAATTTCCAATCCTTGGCATCAATGAACCAGCGCGGGTCCTGGGGGTGCGGATCTAGGGCCTTCTCGCCGGCAGGGACCATGAATTCCATTTCCACGCCGAACGTATACTGCGGGCTTGTTTCTGCATCCTTTTCGATACCCTCGAGATCCACAGCGAATCGCGAAGCGAGTTTAGCCAGCTCTGGTACTTGGGGGTTTCGACCGAGACCTTCAAAGTATCTGGCTGTCTCCTCAAGCTTCAGTTCGAGCAAGAGCTCTGCAACTGTGAGGCTGCTGCCGACTTCGCTATGACTGCTGGTCGCGGACCGGATAATCGGGTCCCCAAGCTTCTCAAGTAGATCATTCATACGCGCAGGGCTTGATGTCAGGCATGCGTCCACAATTCCAAGGCAGGTCGAAACCCAATGGTAGATGCGCGTCATATTCAGTGTTCCACTGTGCTGTGCGAACCCAAGTGTTCGTTCATCTGGCTCGTTAGCTTGGAGAGTAGAGAATATGAACGCACCTGTCAGCTCTGCGGCGCCATCTCTTGTCGGCAAGATGCGCATCTTCTGGATTAAATTGTCTTTGGTAAGGGTGTTGAGTACATCCAACATTCTAAACGCGTAAAATGGAAATTGCCAATCGTCTGGCGACATGGCAAGCTCGAACATGGGTGACCTCGTAGCTATGGCCTTTCCCTTGTTGAATAGGTATGCGGCGGACGCCTTACTCAAAAGCAACTCGTCAGTACTGATTTGCTTGAAGGGGCTGAAGGCTACTGTATAGGGGAGACCTAGCGCGTTGGGGCTGTTGGATGCACAATGGGGCGGGTGTAACTGGTCGATCAGGGGGGCTGCCGACCAAAGAAAACGGACGATATTCTGAAGACCGTCGAGGTCAAACTCACCATCCTCAAGCTTCATCTCCACCTTCAGCGTCGTGTTCGTGTTGATGCCCACAATGCGTTCAGCGGCAATCGCTTCACATGCTCCGAAGACGGCCTCAGCCCAGCCACTCGTAGGAGAGAAGAACGGGGTCCTTAAGGAAACGCCCGTGTACTGGCTGCTCTTGGGATTGAGCCATGAGTCTTGCGGGGCCGTTTCAGCCTTCGTCGCTCGAGATACCTGCCATAAGCCTTGATGTGAAGCGTAGTGGTCCTGAGTGGTCTCGGGAGCGATGGCGGAGAGGCCTAGGCTGTCCAGCAGCCTAATAACGTCTTCGAGCAAGTGCTGTGGATCTTCAAACGTCTTGTTATCCCTCCGCCCTGTGACCTTCTTCTCGACAAGGAACTCTAGGGTGAGGCGAAATACCAACCGTACGCCAAAGTCTTGCATGGGAGGGAGATTGATGGGCGGCATGTTGGTTGCTGATGTGTTTTGCGAATCACGCACAATCATCAAAACCGTGCTGGATGAATTAGTTGCTTAGTTACTGATTTGCCTGACATGTACAACAAGTATCTGTGGCTGGAGGGATGACCGACGGCGATGAAGCAGAGCCTCTATATAGTGTTGACTATCGCGACGTTGGCTGCAAAACAATAGAGGTACAGGGGTCATGTCGGTTTCGCACAATAACCAAGCAAGTGGTCGCAAACATTGATCAGAAGCAGTCGTGGTATGTCGAATTCCTCAGCAGGAACAACGTTGTGTCCGAAACAGGACATCGTCATAAGGTCAATGTCCCTTACTTAGCTTAGCCGGACCATCACATTTCTTTCTCCATTTGACCATGACAACTTTTCGGTACCCGGCGCCCCGACTCACCTCATCGCGTCGTTGCATAGGATTGTCTCATGTTTATATATGTACCATGATGTTCGTTGATACCTTATGGCTTATCTTTTCGTGGTGAACTTTGGAGAGACTCGATGGTTCTCGCAAGGCCCTCTTTCAGCAAAGGTTGCGCATAAGCACATGTAATGCGGAACCAACCAGGGCCCTCAGATACAAAGCTTGATCCTTTGCCAACAAAGACTCGACTCAGAAAAGCCGAACTGAGCTTTTGCTCACAATCAAGCGAGTCCATGTCAAACGCATTCCACCCAGGATAGGTCCGCCCGAGATGCACCCATGAAAAGAAGACTTCGTTCGTCTTTGGTGCATATGCAACATCAAATCCATTCGCCATGACACTGTGAGTGCAAAGCTCCCCGCAATGAAATATTTGTTGTCTTGTATGTAGCTGTCTATCCACCATGAGTCTGCAAGAATATTCGCAGTAATGTTGTAAGCTGCCAATGAGATCGAGCTGAAAGGCCCCATTGGTACCAACGCAGCATGTAGCAAGACGTTGCTTTTTAACAATACAGATCCAACCCGCAGCCCGCTCCTGCGGAGTCCTGTGACACGCCTCAAGTAACGCGAAGTCAAGAAGGATCGTACTCCGGTAATCACTGGTCTATGCGCAGTCTCCAACCCCCATGCCAGCCAACCCACCCTTTTGCTCTAGGTCCTCTGGCAAACCCGGCAAGCAGAGCCAGCCCGACAAATGCCACTGCGCACACGAGATCAGTATCACGAACTCCAACTGGGAGACGTCAAGACGAGAAAGCCTTACCGCTTGCTCCACCACTCAGTAGCCACCCGCCATGGGCATACAGCCTGTTCCCAACAGTTGTGCCTGTCAGCTGACCGCAGAAGGCACTGATCATGTACGCCGTGTTGATCCTGTTTCTAGCTTTTGGATCAAGGGTGTAAATTGCCGCGCGATTGCTAATGTTTGCCACCTGTGTTCCCACGTCGGCGAGGGCTGCCTGGATGATAGGTCCAGCCACAGTAACCTTGCCGGTGAAAGTACCGACGATGACTCCAGTCATGACGGCGAACAAGCCCAGGATGGTCGAGAACAAGGGGACGAACCGGTCAAAGACCAGACGGGTGTAGAGGGGTGTGCCGACGATGCCTGTCAGGCCGATGAGGGAGAAAAGACCGATGATGAGGGAACTGAATTCGTAAGGCGGCGATGCGAGCAGGAATGTGAGGGTCGTCCAGAAGTTGGTGAAGATGGCGTTGCACAGAAACGTAATGAGACAGGCCTGCACAAGGATGGGCTCGGTGAAGATCATGGCGACGATGCTCCACAGTACGCGAAAGTAATTGATGCCCTCGGGGTTGGTGGGTGGGTAATCAGGCATGAAGCAAAAGAGCAGGACAACGAGGATGTACTGGGCGCCGAAAGAGAGCCAGTAAATATTGATCCAGTCGGTGTAGTTGGCAACGATACCTGAGAGCAACCGTGCGACGAGCATGCCGAACATGAGGCCTGATGCGACAATCGCCATGGCTGTCGTCTTGCGCTGCGGCGGAGCGATATCCCCAACGAGAGGGAGCATCAGCTGCGGAGTGACGGTCGTGGCTCCGCAGATGAAGGATAGAGCACAAAAAACTTTGAATGATTTGGTGACACAAAGGCCGAGCCACTATTCTAGGGTCAGTCTGTGGCGCAAGGCACAATAAGCTCGGTTGTTCTTACAAGCATCGCAGTCGCCCATACTAGCCCAATGATGAACGGCCGCCGTCGCAAAGTGTCACCTAGCGGGCACAGGAAGAGCAGGCCTGCAGCATAGCCGGATTGCATGAGTGTGGCGACGGAAGAGGCACGCTCGAAGCTGACACTGAATGTTTCTGCGATTTTGTTCAGCACGGGCTGATTGTAGTACAGATTGGCTACAGTGATGGTGGCAGACTGTGTTCATGGTTAGCCGAACGTTTGGATATCAGAAACACAAAGAAGGCCGGCAAAGCATTTACCAGAGCGTAGAGAAAGTTGAGGAGGTACCCGAAGTTGGGAGGATTTGCTGGATCATAACGCAGCCTCGTAGGCGTCCATGTCAGGATGTGAATTACATGTCTTCGAGAAGAGCGGTCATCGGGCTTGTCGCTCTCGGCTACACGAGCTTGGAAAACGGCGTCGGCATCTGGTGCCTTTGATGGTTGAGTGAGCCGCGTGGCGTCAGCTCGAGGCTCTGTAGCCAACTCCATCAAATTCGATGACGCCCAGTTCCTCGATTGGACCCAGCCTGCAGGTAGTCGCGACTCGTGAGGAGCGGAACGTGTTGTGGAGGTTGACAAGTTGTCCTCGTCGCTCCTATCATACTAGGTCCTTGGACGATGGAAGAAAGATGGCCATCGAGTTCACGAGTCTGTCGCGACTCGGAATCTGGCCGGAGGTCCCCATAGTCCCGACAGGCGACATCGCTCGGCAAAGGGTTATGGGGCCCGAGAAGTCAACTAAGGTGTGATGATCTGCGAGATGAAGGGTGCAAGCGCTGGAAATGGTCCGGGCTTGATTCCGAGGATGAAGCTGGCCATGTCCGCCTTGGAGCATTATTAAGCAGCTTGTTCTGTCTTATCGTCTATCTGCCTCGGCCCCTCACCTGCAGGTGGGCAAGCTTGGCAAGCAAGGCAGGCAAGGCCAGCGGCAGGGAAGGTTGGATGGATGCTAGAGTCCCACTCAGCAAATCAGTCCTCCTTCACAGAATGCGAACCCAGACCAACCAAGCATCCATCAACAAGCTACGGACTCAACACAGGCCACATTTCCAGGTTCTCTTAACAACAGAAACATTGAGCAATGACAAAGACCGTCTCTCAGCTCTCATCCTCCGCCACGGGGATGCCCTTGCGTATATGTCTTGCTGGCAGCTCCTGAGCGGGGGACATTTAGCATGGATGCCCTTGCCCTTGATCGAGCACACGTCGTCAATGAAGCTTGTTGGACGAGCTATCCGAGCGATGCCACTGCCGGTTTTCTATCGGATCTGGCAGACGTCGTGTGCGGCCACTCATCTTTAAGCGAAGCTAGCATCAGGCCTGTTCATCGGCCACTTGAAAGTTGGCGACCATCGCGATTTCTTTGGTTCTAACTTACTTGCCAGCCTTCTGCATTTGTTCGCCGCTCTTTCCAGAAGTACAAACTCCCAGAAGACCCGTCACTTGAAACTCCACGCCTGCCATGTCCTCCCAACAATCCGGAGCGACGGACGTCGAGTCGATTTGCGGATCAGAAAACGACTTCTTTAGCCGATATGCCCGAGTACATCGGGCTCAACGGCTCGAATCTCTTTGAATTCGACGAACGAATTCTACGAGACCACATTCTGGCGGACAACAGCTCCGGCTCCGGCATCGAATATGACGAGTATGTGGTTTACAAGAGGGAAAGTGGTGCCACCACACCAAACCATGGTGATTTGGCCGAGCATCAACCACGAGGCTCCATCTCGCATCGATTCAATCAGGCGGATATTCCCCGGCTTCGAAATGCTCAATCTTGCCTTTCGACAAGACTACCTGGTGGATCAGGATGGTGCATTCGCTACGTCTGACCAGCTCGATTCAAGTATGGCAGTCTACGGCCGTGTCAGACGGGTCGTGTGCTTTCGCCGAGGCCATTCTTTCGACCGTGTGGATGGCCTCAGCATCACACCAAACGACCTAACTGCTATGGATTTGCATCCTGCGACACTCCAGTATTCGCGTCGAACGACGACCGAGGGTCGCTTCTGGTCCGTCGATAAGTCGAGATTGAGCCTATTATTGGCCTTTTCGTCGCACCCTCGGACTCCTCATGACTTTCCTTCAATGACCTACGATCTCAAGTCACGAACATCGACTGTTCTCATACGTCAGTCGCACAATTCTCGGAGAGATGACTTTCAAGAGCTCGATGAATACGACAATCGCCTGGAGGCTCCTACGGCAGCTCGAGATCCTCTTCCCGTCCTGAGCCGTCTGTTCTAGGTCTACTGGGTGACGGCCATACCCTTAACGCTCTATGTCCTCGCCATGTGGCGCATCTGGTGGGTGAGAGCAGACCGCTCTTTCCGCAGGCATCTCTCACGCGAGCTAAGCGAGAAGCGAATTTGGACCAAGGACGGTAGGCCGCGTGACCTGGAGCACTCCTTCTAGTACGACTTCTTCTTCCTGACGGCAATGGGGCACGCGAGCGCTGAGCCTCTGCCGCTGGCGCCAACACCGCCGCTGTCACCGGCAGAGAATACAGAGGTGCCTCTGGTACGGAAAAGGCATTTATTCTGGAAGACGGGAGGGAAAGGTTTGCACACTTATACTGTGTAAGACGACTGTGCATTTCTTATCTGAAATGATACTTTCTGAAGGTGTCTACCTGGCTAAATAGCCGCATCAAGTCTCTCGAGGCGTAACGGAGTCGCAAGTTGTCGTCTCTGCTGAGGCGGTGCATCACATCAACGAACAACTCAACCGGAAGAGTCATCACAACGAGCTTGTGTTCTGGTTATGATACGCGTCAGCGACAATAGAATCCATTGGGATGACTTTTGTATTGGATCCGATTCTTGCTGTCGACATTTGACTGCCTCCTCGTACACAGGGGGTCATCGGTTTCGTTTGTCGTCAAGGTCTCCGTCGGCTGGCAAGACCTCTTCTGGTGGGATTGCAGCGCTTAAAGCTCTCGAGCAATTGGTTTGTGGACAGTCTTATTCGTGGGCGTTGATGAGGGTGGCTCAAGATCGAGATATCACTTGATATAAGCTCCGCCCTCAAGGATTTTCTCCTGATATTTCGAGGGCTTCAAACTTTGGCCTGTCCTTTTTCTTCACTTTGATGCAACTGCGACAGCTTCACTGTACTTGGAAGTACACTACTGGAATTCCATCTCTTCATCGAACGAGGAGCATGTTGGCGTCGCACTGACAATTGGCACATAATCGAACAATCGCAAATAGCACTGAACACATGCAAATCCAAATATACAACTCTTCCTTGGCCAGGCATCACATGGCCGGCATTCTTTGCAGACAATCTCCCCTGGTCAGGTACTCTTGCGCGGCCAACACGGCCTAATGTAGAGGGGATCGAGCATGAGACGCCCAGCCTGTTGGATCGCCTTTGGATACATGGCGAATGACACCCTCATTAATCGCTATCTGAAAAATTAGCATGGCGTTTGCGGATGTCCCGGAGCCTACGATATTACTGGCATTACAAATTTCCACAGGAACTCAGGTTATAAGCGCAACCCCTTTCCCCCAATTGCCACTTTCAACAGGCAGCTCTTTCAGTTGGTATGCCTCTTGGGACAGTGGCAGCTGCATCAATGACGTTTACCGGAACGACAGTCTTTTTTCATGATAGAAAGTGTGAAATCTTGACTGCCTTGATGGATGCGTATCACAAATATCTTACACGGAGAAGGAAATCAGGGTTATGGCGACTTTGATCAAACGAGGAGAATACACTACACTTCGTACTTCGTGATGGACAAAACAGCATACAAAAGGGAAAAGAACGGAAGCGACATATATGATCAAAGGGAAGAGTAGCACGAAGATGGTCAATGTGAGCAACCCCTTACCAAACCATTTCTCTTGGTTCTGCATTCCCTGGACGGCAAACCCAGCAAGTGAATGGACCAAAATGGCAATAACCGGCTTTTTCGGAGTCATCATACCGCTGCTCACAGCCCTGCTACTAGCCGAGAACGGGCAAAAGAAGCTAGGATTCCTTTGGGCCGCCCTCTGCTGATGGGCATCTTTGGGCCACTTCCTGCCCTTCTTGCGCCAGGATCGACAAGAGTCGAGCCGCGTGCCCCTCTTGGCCGGCGGCTCTCTGATGCCTACTAGCTCAGCAGAGGCCGAGATTTGATCACCGCCCGCCCGGCCCCGATGCCTAGCTATCAAAGGGAACAATTGCCAGCAAGGCTCGATTCAAGTCCTTGAAAAGTCACTCTGGAAAGGAAAGAGGTCGGTGGAGCGTTTCAAGCGCCCCTTTGAGGAAGGCGCGTGAGGCCAGAAGGCTCCGTCTACTTCACCCTTCTCTAATCTTTTCCTTTAGCTCTCTCACCAACTTGACGGCGCTACAGGGGAATAGACAGCCATATATTCCGAAATTCTTCATCATCCGGGCGAATATGAACACCATTGACATGGAGGTAACCCCAGTTGACCTTGCTGTCACCTACGAAGACATGGTACAGAGGTTGGAGAGAGCAGAGAAGCAAATCGATCTTCAACGCTTGCAGATCGCCGTCTTGGAGGCACAGCAGGCCCCCATCGCCCCCGAGGTTCCTGCCACGGTCATTCATGAACTCTTCAGCAAGCTCACGTACGAGATCAATATCCTAGTTCTCATCCTCACTGGTCCTGTCGTCGTAGAAACGGCCCATCCACGCCTGGCCAAGGGACTTGAGATGCTCGGCGAGCAATGGAAGGGGTGGATCGTTGACGAGGCAACTCGCTCCTCCGTATTCGAGGCCTTTGTCTGGTACGAGGTTGCTCAGTACTTTGGCAGCCAGCATCGCGATATTTGGGCTGGCAAGATGGGCGGCGCCTTTAAGGACGTCTGCAAGCAGCTCCGCTCCAGTGAGTACACCAGCTCGCCGTCGAGCCTCCAGAATTCATGCCAAATCATCACTGACACCGGCCCATCCTGCAGCCCTTCTCAAAGACGCCGACATGAGGACCCTCCAACACTTTTCCCTCTGGCGCGCCCAGGGCGCTCACATGATCACCCAGGCCCTTGGTAACGACACAGCCACCACCACCACCACCACCACCATTGACTGGGACAACCTGACCACCGTGGCAAGCGAGCTGTTCGCCGTGCTCAAGACTTACTTGCCCGCCCATGACGCCGCCAACCCCGACGCATCCGTCTCCCACGCCGCGACGCTGCACTATCGCCTCCTCAACATCTACACCCTGGCCGTGCGCATCGACGACGTCCTCCTCGGCAGCAAGAACCCCATGTTCCTCGTCTACGGCCGCCCGAAGCGCTTCGACGCCGCCACCATGTGGCCGTCTGTCGAGAATGTCGACGTCGCCGACGAGACGCCTGTCAAGTTCCAGATCAGCCCGAGCATCAAGATGAAGGTGCAGCCGGAGGGGGGCGGCGCCGTTGCCAGCGTGTTCATCACCAAGGCCAAGGTCTGCATCTAGAGGGGGCTCAAGGGTTTTCCTTTTTCTGTTTTCTTCTGCGCTTGGATTCTGGGTCTGGGATTGGTTGGACGTCTTCTGGGGAAGGGGATTGGGCTCTTTCTTATACGGCTGGTCACATCGTTCTTTCAGAGTTCTTGGCATGAAAGCATGGGAGAGAGAGTGAGAGAGCAGTAGAAGGTTTGCACTTCTGGGTCGAAGGTCATACAACATTCCTGGGAAAATAGACGGCATACGCGAGACGCCATGTCGGCAAGACCTGTGATGCTGTGGTGCCTGGCAAGTCTGAGAGATGATGGATTGATGGCGCGCGGACAGAACGTTGCACGTGGATGCGCGGGTATGCATTCGCGGGTGCACAATACAGTCATTGGCTGGCCGATTGGTCGTTGATGGATATGCCATACTACAGGGCACTCTCCAGGGTTGTGATGCTTCTCTGCACGCATCTCGGTCAACGCCTGGTGGAAGTTGTTGGTGTGTATCATCACGAATGCCGCTATCGGGTCCATTGACGGTGGACGCGGCATGCAAGCTGCTGTGCTTCAAAACAGATCTATTCAACCACATTGCCAAACGCCATGACATGTCTAGTCCAAGCCATGAAATGCTAGTCCGATATCTATTCCTGTACATTGTTGATCGTCCTCGTCATGGCCTCCTTCATCAGACAGAGCATGCCTCGCTCTCCTTGCGACGCATTGCCGTGCATTATTGTTGCCTCTCAAAACTAAAATTCCACACCTCCTTCCTCTGCGTGCCGTCTGACGACTCCTTCAACCCGACATGCTGGAAGACGCTCGGCTCGAGGGCCCACTTTTTCAATTGTTTGTCGCGCGCCACATCTTCGAGCATCATGTCGCCGGGAAAGTTAAAGGGCGGCGTGACGAGCATGTCATGGATCATGTCGAGATGTCGCTGCGGGAAAACGAGGCCTTGGGCGCAGCAGCCGTAATTGGGCATCTCACGGACGCCGTCAGAGGACCAGGGGGTCATGCGGTGGGTCGAGACGCGCCCAGCGGCGAAGTACAGGACGATGAGGGCCGGCAGCCAGAGGCCGAAGACGAGGGCGGCCATCCAGGCCGAGGTGTGGCGGTACGTGGTGACGGTGCGCTTGCCTTGGGCGCCAAGAGAGGCAGCGGGCCATGTGCGGCGCAGGACGAGGAAGACGACGAGAGCCAGGACGTAGAACTCAAAGATGACGCGAGAGTAGCCGAGCCACTCCTCGCTGTTCCAGCCCATGAAAATTTCCGAGTAGAAGAGCCGGAAGTAAAGCCAGTCTGGGGCTTTCGGGTGGGAGGCTTTGCGCTGCTCGACGTCGGCGATGCCAGCCTTGAACCGGGTGAACCAATCACGCGAAGCGACGATATCATCTTCGACGAGGGCAAAGTACTGGGCACCCGTGCTGCGGCAGGCGTCGAGAACAACGGAATGGTCGAGGCGCATGTTCTCAACGCGTTCGGTGCCGCGGCCGGCTTGGCGGACGTCGTAGGGAATGGCGCGCGTGACGGAACCCTCTGGCTGAGGTGGCAGCGTCCAGTTGCCAGCGCTATAAACGATAGCCTCGTCGACAAGACGGTCGAGCCAGGGCGCCTCGTAGGCGGGGTGGTCTTTAGGATCTTGGTCGGCGAGCAATGTCACGAGGTGAATGGTAGAGCGCTCCTCGTCGGTCAGGGTATCGACGAGGGTAGCGAGAGTCTGCGGCAGAAACGAGACGGTATTGCGGGCAACACTAGGAACGCCAATGCAGAGAAAGGGCTTGGTGCCGGGGAGCCGCTCGATCTTGGGCGTTGGTGGCCCGTAGGTCAAGACCTCGATGAGGTGTTCGGCGTTGGTGGTGCGAACGAGGGAGAAGCGTTCTCGGAAGGCAAGCTTCTCGTTGAAAAAGATGGACGAGGGGTCGTCGTAGGAATTGGAGTAGCAGTAGAGGGCCAGTATCAGCCAGACGGCGAGAAAAGCGGCATTGGCATGCTTCGGACGTATTGTCGGGTACTTCACGTTGGCCGACATGATGGCAATCGTCTGCATTGTCGGTTGCATTTTGTTGGCCAACAGGTGGGCGCTCGCCTGTACCGTCGGGTACACTTTGTCAGTCAAGGTATTGGCGATGGTCTGCACCGTGGGAGAGACATTGTCGACCAACATGATGGCGATGTTCTGCAGCTGCAGAGCCATGGTGGAGTGTAGCGCGCAGATGGATAGCAAGAGGCAGACCAGCGCGAGATGGCAATGACGGCTTGGATGCCAAGGACAGCAGGGCTTCTCAAGCCATGGCGAGGCCGGGGTGGGAGCTTGTTTGGTTTTGTTGCTGGCTCGGGTCGGGTCGCTGACAGCTTCTCCGGGCCACACGCTTCACTTCAGCCACGGGGCCCAGTTGGGCGTGAGAGACAGAAAAAAAAAAAAAAGGACTGATCGACGCTGAGTGAAAGAGAGGCACAGACAGATGAGGATGGGGATGGGGCCGTGGCGGAGGGCGGGCCTCATTCATGGTTGCCATCTCGTGTCTGGATTGGACCAAATCACCGTAGTCAGCCGCAGTGGCCGTCTTTTGGGGTCGTCGACGAGGATGGCCCCTGCCTTGTCGGGCTCGAGGCGGTCGTGCCTGGTGTTGCTCCAATCTCGGCTGGGCAATGGCCAGGGTCCATGGGCCGTTCTCGCCCTCTCTGTCGATGGTTGCCTGGGGCCTGGTGCTTCATGTGCTGTCTCGTGCTGTCTCTTGCGGTTTCTGGGGGTGTTTTTAGCGTGTGGTTGCCCGGGAATGGCCTTTCCTAAACCATACGGGGCGTGACGGGAAGGAGCAGAGGAAAGGGGCAGGAGAGGAAGGAGGGAAAAGGGGAAGGTTCGTCCCCAGTGCTGACCAACAAAATCTGCATGTCCCTCCTGCTCATGCTCGTCATCATGCTCGTCGCGTCCTGTCGCGTCCTTCTCACCCTCACACAACACAAAGCTGTCGTCGTCGTCGTCGTCGTCGTCGTCGTCGTCGTCGTCGTCGTCGTCGTCGTCGTCGTCGTCGTCGTCGTCGTCGTCGGCAATCTGTGCTTGCTTTACGGTTGTAGAAGGCTTGGCCTGGCCCGTCTTGGCATGCCTCTGATCAGAACTTTCTTTCGCCCTGATTGTGGATCCTATTCATTGCAAACATTCCTCGACCTAGATCGATTCGACTCGACGCAGATTACCCCCAACCGTGTGCTGCCTGTTACCCATGGCATGGCTTGCTTGTCTCGCCTCGGCAAGATCCTCGCCGATCGCCGAGCGCCATCGTCGCGCCCTGACCAGCTGTCGCGTCCTTGGCGATCTTGTCATTCTTTCCAGCCATCGAGCAGTGCCGCATCGACTCTCGAAAACCATGGCCCGACCTGAACATCTCGCGATCCGCATCATTCTCCCCTGGTGAAACATACCCCATGGGTTCATTCGCCCTCTTTTTTGATGCCCTCTCGCCTCTAGGACGGCAAGCCTCTTTCACGCTCGCGCCTTTTGAACACCGAGCTGTCGCTTGGTGACGTTTCAACCTAACATGAAGAGGCGTCATAGTTGGCACAAGCATATGCAACCGTGGGCCGCCTACGATGCGGCTGTGGAGAAACAAATGAGGTAACAGGTCTATTCCCGCCGTGGACAGAAAGCGCACGGCGTGTAAAGGCTACCCTAATACAGGGCCCCGCATCTGGATTTCCATTTTCGAGATGAAATGATCATGGGCTTCGAATGAGTATGTAAAGTTTTGCTATTAAAGTATCCAGGTCATCCGCTTAACCTAGGCAAGGCTGAACCACTGTCCAAACACATTGCCAGGGTCGTACTTGCTCTTAAGCTCTTTGAGTCGCGGGAGGCTCGAGCCATAAATAGCGACAAGTTCTTCGTCACCATGCGCAAAGTTGATGTATCTGTACCACGAGAGGGGGGCTTGTTAGCTTCCGAGCTCATTGCAATTGCAATCATTGGCAGTGTGGGAAAAGGCAGCACTCACGCCGGATTGGCCTTGGCATTAGGGGAAAAGCTCCAAATGTCGCGAACCTTGGAGGCAAAATCGAGGGCCTGCGTGTCGAGGGCGGCATCCTTGTACCACGGTATGACAATGCCTTGCGCAAACGAGTCGAAGCGCAGTTCATCGTGCACAGCAGTGGCACCACGGCCGACCGACCTGGCCTTGGCGAGGTTGTAACGCTCAATCACAATGGCGGTATTCTCCGCACCAGGCTGCTTCTGGAAATCGGCAAACAGGTCCCAAACGGCAGGCCAGCTCGAGGCCCCCATATCCTTGAGAGCGGTGGTGAAGGCCGGCTTGCGGCCGCCGCGGCCGCAGAAGAAGTCGTTGGCGACATTCCAGCCCGTGTAAGGGGTGATGGAGCTGCTGTTTGTCTGGGGACCAAGATCGTACAGGGACGCAAACGCCTTGCGACCCGATGTCTCGTCGCCGCCACGGAGGTAGCCAGTGACTAGTACGGTGGGGGTGTTTTTGCCGTCGCCTGAGTTGGCCAGGATGAGGAAGACAACTTGCTGAGGTAGAAGCGGGAGGTCCTGGATGGCTTGGGCGACCTGGGCGATCTTGGAGTGGTCGAAGGTCAGAGACGTGAGCCAAGCGTTGCGGTCGGCGGTAGGGAAAGCGTTGACAGTTGCGTAGGTGACGATACCGAAGTTCGGGCCCGCACCGCGCATGGCCCAGAAGAGATCTGGGTTGGAGGACGGCGAGACATTGATCGCCTTTCCTTCGGGGGTGATAACGCGGAGAGACAGGATGTTGTCGACCGCCATGCCGAATTCGCCGATGAGATTACCGTATCCGCCACCGAGGCCCGCGCCGAGGGCACCGACGCAGTTACAGTTGCCCGTCTGGATGAGAACACCGGCCTTGTCTGCAGCGGCAATGACCTCGCTGATGATGGCACCGCCGCCAATGACCGCCGTCTTCTTGTCTTGGCTAATGGTCACCTGGTTTAGGCCGGCCATGTTCAGAATGACTCCGGTGGTGTTGAAGCTAAATGCCGCCCAGCCATTGCCGCCATTCTGAGGCAGGAGAGGGATCTTGTTCGCGGCACAGTATTTCACAACAGCCTTGATGTCGCTCTCACACTTGGGGCTGACAACGACGGCCGGCGCCGGGGGCTCGAATTCGCTCCATCGCGTGCGCACCGTGATTTGGGCACCCGGGTGCTTGATGAGACGGTTCAAGTCGTCGGCGACGGACCGAGGGGTGAGGCTGATTGCCGAAGCTGCAACTGCACTGACAAGGTGCAGGCTGATTAGGAGTTTGCGCAAAGTGAAGATGGCCATGATAGCTGATTTTAAAGAAAGTATGCTGATGAACGGCCGGGTTGGACAGACTTTGGATGGCAAAGTCGGTAATGAGAAGAGCCAGGGGACACACCTGGGCCTCCAATGGACACCATCACATTATATTATAGGCGACCAGTGAGCTGGGTCTGCCCGTGAAGGAGCTGGAGATGCCTGATCGTCTGCATGGCTGCTGCGTGCCATTTCACTGCCCCTGTAGATTCACGTTGCCCCTGTACCAACATACGTGGTGCCTTGAAAAGCGACGCCCTGACTCGCCGCATGCATTATATTACGCTGTCCACCAAGGTGAGCGACAGCCAAGCCTTCAAGGCCTCTTAAGCATGGTCAGGGCTACCGATACACATTGTCTCACCGCTGTACGCGTAGTTGCAACCTGCCCACGCGTCTTTTCAGGGGGGATTGCCAGCAGGCCCAGAATGTTTTGGTTGAGACCCTGTTTATAGTTCAACGGCCCCTTGGCTTGGCATGCTCGCGGCAACCGCCGTCCCTTGATGCAGAAACCAATGATTGCAAAAGCCCCCGCTACTGATCGAATCAAGGCCTTCGCCGCCCCGGCCTGGAATCCAGGACTGTGCCTTGGTTTATCGGGTTCACCCCGCCTCTTCTTCCACACCCGTTTTACCAGTCACTTGTGGCGGTGGTGCCGTCGGCGTACATTGACGATTCAAGTACCTTGATCAGATACGCTTTTGGAGTGCACGCCTGTCAACTATGTATCGGCATGTTTGTTCGGATTGCCAACCTATCACCAAGAACCGATAGGCTTCGGTCACTCGGCGGCTGTTCGAGACAAGACGACCCAGTCGATCAGACGCATCGGCTACAGAGTATCCGACTTTCTTCGTTCAATGATCTTCACGACATCATTTTGCTGTATGTCTACCATGCCATGTCGGCGGAGATTACCGCCAGTACGTGACGAGGAGGGGGAGGTTATCCCGCCGCCCTTTTGCTCTGTGTACTGGACGCACAGATGTGCACGCACGTTCGATGGCATACATGTACATCATGGCACCCGTCCGTAGCGCACCAGAAGTTCGGGACGGCATTTTCGGCAACATGCTCCATGCGTAGCTTGGAACTTTCTCCCAAACGTAGCGTAGATTAGACTCTTGAAGGGTGCCATTCCAGGAAGGCCCCTGTGGTGATGCTTGATTCGTGGCAAGTCTCGCTTCCTTTCTACCCGATAGAAATGGCCTATACGAACATGACAGCTTGTTTTTGGTTTTCCTTTTGGGGGGACCAGGAATCACAACACTGAAAAGAACTGCCAAAGCATGTTTCTTGATTTACTCTCGACGCCCGCTGGGCCCTTCGCTTCCCACCTCGGCAGACATCATACCCTGGGACCAAGCGGCCCAACACCAGACTCGGCCGGTGGTAGATATATCGCGCTAGAGTCGTCTGCCGGTTCCACCGTTTGACGTATCCTGGTCTCCTTGACCACCGTCCCGCTCGCCGGCGACGCGGACCTTGTGTGGCTGTTGCCGGCGTTGAGTTCCATCTCGTCCAGCTCTGTGTATGGCATGCTGTTGTGGCTGCCCTTCTTCCCCCCCTTCCTGGCAGAGCCGTAGCCCAGTTCGTACGAGTTGTTGCCAGTCGCTGTTTCTTTTGGGAACACGTGTCTCCAAATCGGTCGCAGGGTTGGCAGGCATGCGCACACGACCGCCATGGACAGTTCAATGTTGGTCCAGAAGAACACGGGGGCGGTGTAATCTGTCTCTGCCGTTAGCATGGATCACACACAAGTCTGAGCGTAGTAGATAGCGCGAGCGCCGCGTCTTACAAATGATGTCGTTGGGGTAGTGAACGTATTGTTTGGCGATTGCATACACAGCAATCACGCGAGTGACGCTGACGGCACAGACACTAAACCTCCGTTAATTAGACTGCTCTTCAATGCTCACAATATTGGGAGCTGTCAAGACTGGGAACTCACGCGGCGCCGAGACTCAACATGCCAAGGACGGCAATCTTTTTCCGCAACTTGAGCTGGACGCTCATGACCATGGGAATGGGCAGGACGAGAATGGTAAAGTCGGCCACGACGTTGGTGTACAGGACCGTCAGGAACATGGCCACCTGGTTGACGCACTTTTTATCTTGGAAAAAGTCGATAAAGGCAGTAACCGGGTAGCAGGTGAAGAGGTGCGAGAAGAAGAAGCTGATGGTCCAGACGATCACGTAGCCGAGCACGCAGTACACGACCCATTGAAACTTGCGGTTCGGAAAGAGACTTAGGTAGAGAACGAGAATGGATGACTTGACGAGACCGAGACCGACGATGGAGATCATGTTCAAGGCGAACTTCGACTGTTCGCATCGCCGTGTCAGCCCTTTCTAGCGCGATGCAGGTGTGCGGAAATAGGGATCAGGATTGTGTTTGACGAGGCCGGACTTGACTGACCTTTTCGAAGAACGCTAGACCTGGATCTTCCATGATGGCTGTCCCATCGGGATGTTGTGGCTGGTGCTGGCCCAGGTGTCCATGAAATGTTGCTAAATAGGCAATAATCAGCATCTCGTCCAGCTAGATAGCTGGTGTCTAACCCTTTTGCGGGAAAACTTAGAATCTTAAATCCTTACCGGCTAATTGCAAAGAACAGCAGACGATGGAGAGGACCTGTGATGTGGCGTTAGATGAGAGCCCGGAGTTGTTCATACACATCATCCAACAACGTAACTCACCAGTGCTGCGCCGGCCAAGTAGTCGTCCAAAGTGATGCGTTTGATGATCAATCTAGCCCAGATTCGAAGGCAATAAAATACGATGGGAAGAAACATGAAACCAACAGCCAGCCCTATCATCTGGTTCTTGGTGTATTCATGGGTCATGACCACCATCTTGGCGGGCAATGTTGGGACAAAGAATTGGTGGCATCTAACGTCTCTTTGGAAATGTGAGAAGAACCAACAGATGTATTGTGATGGCTTAACAAGTACATGCGGCGATGGGGGACTAAATGTAGAATTACGCCTGGACGTGGCCTCGCATGGGGGAAACGCTGTGAAATATTACTGATGACTCGAGGAATTGACAGAGATGCCGTTCATGGTCCAGAATGATGCGAATGGGAGGCTTTCGCCAGGGGGCATACTGTACTATGCTTGGCGACCGTTGCAATTCCCGGCAATGGCACCCACGCATCTGCGGACGAAACTGTCTTTCTGCATGGCCGCGTTGTATCTCCTGCGTCGCCCTACGCTGGCTACCTGCGGCAAGTACCTTCGAAGGCAGGCTGTAACGTTCGAGCCCACACAACCTAAACCTTGGGCATCAGCCTTTCCAAGGATCATGACTGATGTTGCTAGTGACGTCGAAGGTATCCTAGCAAGAACCCGGTGCCCGCGCGCGGGCTAGCCGTGGCGGGGACCGCCCGACAGGGGTCATGGGACTTATGATAAGATTCCTTCTTCGTGCAAGGGGCAGGAGTTAGGGTTCTGACTCGTTAGCTGGGCTATAATTATGTCCCGATATGAGATATACCTTGGCCTTCGTGTCAGGCAACTGGTCATGCCCCGATTGATTTCATGCGCAGCCTGATGCTCTTTATCAGAAGACTCACGATGAGCTTTTGAGTTTTTCCTCGGTTCTGCTAACGACATGGAAAGAGAAAGTTCAATTGTCGGATACTGTCGTCAGCAGAACTCTGCTGATATCATAACAGCCATCTCCTGGGAAGTTTGACTTTGCCCAATCTCACCAGAGCCTCAGAGCAGAATAACGAGCGATATGAGGCAGTGTTGGGGAGGGGGAGGAGGGGCTCTAGTCAACTGGGAAGGTTCGTGCGAGCGATGTTCCACTATTCTCTGTATTCGCCCGGCTGCATACGCAACCGGCAGTTCATACTGACTTTGTCATCAAAGTCGCATTGGGCCGTTTCTGGTGTGCTCTGCTTCTCGCCATTGCCGAGATCAACTGCTTGGGCTGGCATCGTAGGTTGACTGGACATACCGTGTGGCAGGGACGACTGCTGAAAACGTGGCACCTGAGGTGTGAACAGATGCGGCTTCGAAGCTGTTGGCTGTTTGCGACGCACGGTTTGTCGTTGTGAGAGGCCTCTATGACCCTGTTGCCGTCTGATTTATCTTACCGGTTCTATGTTAGCCGATTCCGATATGCCGATCTTTTACGGCAGCAACTTTGATAGCCGAAGTCAGGGTGGCTGCATATCGCAATCGTGCAATAACTATCAGCACATACCTGGTTAATGTCGTATATCGATAAAGACAGTCTTTTGCCCGATAGTTACGCGTCTTAGTAATAGCTGACAACCCCGCGAGACTTGAGCCATTCTGCATCAAAATCAGTCGACAATGTACATGTAGCTTCCGCCGTTGATTCAAGTGACTGCCGACGTGGCAGACGTGGCAGACCTCTTAAGCCCCTGGGCTTCTGGTGTGTACCAGGTCATGCCCTGATGTTGCCCTTGACACAGCCGACGTCTTTGTCCAGGGAAACGTGGCTTGGCTGAAGTGACCATTCTGAAGTCTGATTATCCCTGATAAATTTGTGTTTGAGAAATTCTCACCAGTAGTTTCAAGCCCCCCTCCCAGGAACCTGGATGATGGTACGAACACATTTTCTAATGATTTGTAAGGTCCCATCGCCAACTGCCAAGGCTTCGACTAATTTTGACACCATGATACTGAGTTTCCCCTTTTTTTCTTTGCTGAAAAGATGTCGAATGTCGAGAAGTCAGTGATCAAGCCTAGTCTCGTGAATCTGTCTCATCAGGTTCCTCGACGGTGACCGGTTCCTCCAGCAAGCTTCTGGACGACACGTGTTTGATACACGCAGCAGACGATAGTTCAGGAAGCAAGTCCATATGTCAGAAGAGTATTGTTTCAGTTGACAAGTTCACGCCTGTTGACCCAAATGATAGCGATGGTCTGCATCGAAAGCTACAATGTGAATTAAGGCTCTCTACTACCCAAAAGTTACACAGTCGAAAGACACAGCGCGTCCTCTCTGAATGACCATCCTCAACCAAGGGCAGACAAAGGAGTTTGATGAGATAAAGCATAACCAACTACGACTGCCAGAGCAGCTTGAACAGGTGACCGGCTTGCAAGATCAAGGTCAAAGTCCAGCGTGTTCTTCAACCCCACGGCTTGAACTCGGGGGCGAGGAAGCCGGGGCAATAGGTCTCCCAGCAGAAGTATTGCGACTCGTTGATGTACCACGCAAAGTTCCAGTCGCTTCCGTCCTTGTCGCGGACCGCCATCTCGGCCGCGCCCCAATTCTTGGCCGACAGCGTCTTGCGCAGGTTGTCCGGCATTCTTTCCCACTCGATGAGGCCGGCGCCCACGCCCCAGCGCCAGCTCTTCCAGTGGTTCTCCGGCGGCTCGTCTCCGTCGTTGGCCCAGCGGAAGGCGTGGGTCAGCGCGCCGTCCTTGTGGTACACGACCTTGGGGTGGGTGCCATGCTCGAACCGCGGGGCGGCGGTGCGGCCGTCGAGGATGCGAATGTCCCACTTGCCGTGCTGCGAGATGCTGACGAACTTGAGCTGGCCATGCTGCACCCAGACGGCAATGTGCTCCCAGTCGTGCCGGTGGGCGCCCCAGCCAAAGTCGGCCTCGAAGTAGTAGTCGTACATGTGCACGCACCAGCCGTTGTTGCAGCGCGAGCGCACGTAAATATTGGTCTGTTGCAGGTGGACCTCCTTGCGGCACCAGCCGAGGATCTCGCCGGCCGGCTTGTTCTCGTCCTGGCCGGCGTTGAGCTGGCCTGAGGGAGAGATGGCGACCGTGTTGTAGCATGAGTCCGTATCGTAGTCGAGCGCCGGGCACCACTTTTCCTGCTCGGACCATGCCGAGCCGCCGAGGGGCTGGCGGAGATCGCGGCGGATGAGCTTTGTGGTAGGCGTGTCTGGCAGAGGAGTTGCGATGACTGCCGGCAACAGGAGCAGAGCCGCCACAGCGGAGAAGGAGGCCGTTCTGAGAGAAGGCATGTTGTAGAAGATGAGTTCTCTAACTTTAACTACCATATGACTTGTGGGAGTGTCTCTGTCCTCATCGCATCAAGGAGTGCAGCTGGCATGCTATTTTATACACGATTTATACACGTGGGAAAGCAAGCGACGATGCTTTCGATAGACCATGTTTTACGAGTAGCAGACGTTGATTGGAGTGAGAATGGAAATGAGCAGTTGGAAGTCATCTACACTTTGCGCGGGCTATGCCTTCGCTGACTGCAGGGCCTTGAAGCTGTCGGTGATTTGAACGAGAGACTGCCATCGTGAAGAGCACATGGCTGCATTGGCTAGATGATTTTACCAATCATTTACCCCCAGCTTGATTGGGTTCTTCTTACGAGATGGTGCGTGATTGGGCAGTTGATGTTGTGCATGGTATGCTCGTAGCCATGAAGACTCGGTGGATCCAACCCCTGGTGTTCAGCTGCTTACACTGCGTCCGCAAGGGCCAGCAAGAGCCTTCTCGAGCGCGGGCGCGTGTCGCCATGGGTTTCCGACTGCAGGCGTGGAGATTTCCATCATTTGAAATCACTGGATGTGTAAAAGTGCATGTTTGGGAGAATCGTGGCGCAAATCCGAGTCTCGTGGTGCCAAACCAATTCGAACAAGCGGCCGCATGGCCCGCGCGCCGCCGCCCTACCAGTATGGTTAGGAATTCGTAGACTAGGGGACGGCCGGGGTGCTGAAAGCGAGCAAGAATTTCTCTCAATCGGGATGTATTTGCTAGAAATCTGGGGATGCACGCACTAAATTCCCTCATCCCATGGAGCGGATCCGTGCTGAAAACTCCATTTAATCGAGATGATGCTTGCCATAGGAGGAATATTGTAAGCTCACGAGAGCTGCTCTTACTCAATACGGCCGATGCTTTGCATCAACTTTGTGTGGATGTTGCCGGTACTCTTTCCTTGGAGCGTGTTGCGTCACAGAAACGTGGATGGTTGGCTTCGGATAAATACTGACCTCGACACCAATCGTGGACAATTTCGGTCACCGATGGGTAACTGTCTGGTCCAACAACTGCGACTTCACCAAGAAAATATCGTACGGCGTCAAGATCCGGCGGCAAGAAGCCAATTGACCGTACCATGAAAGTCCGAGACACTCTTGCAGATCTCGTCCGGCATATCTAGATGAGAGGACCGGTCTCTGGATATCTTCAAGCCTCCGATTGATGACCATGACTCTATCAAATGAAGTATTGAGCTGCAAGATAAATCAACAGCCAACGACCCAGGCTGTCCACCAAGCACTACTGTTTAGAAATAGCACGACTGCTTGAAAAGTCCATGTAGCCTCCGGGTTAGTTTCTCGCGTGTTCCCTCTCAAGGCCAGACACAGTTGCGATGGACGGCGATGCCGCCCTCCCGCGGAGACCTGCGAGGAATCACGGGCTGTTGATATATCGATGACTGCGAACATCTACCACCTGGTTACTGCATTACGAAACACTTTGAGCTCGGAGAACCTTGAGAGTAAGCACCTCTGTCGCGCACCACCGACTTGCCGAATCTGAGAGTGAAGGGGATCCTGGATATGAATTTGCAGCTTTGCCGCCGCATGGCAGAAGATCCCGGTTGTGCATTTCATGACGGAGATCATGGCTCAGGGGCAACCGTACAGGTCTTCGCGCCCGATGAGCAGAGGCCATCTCAGAACCCGATCTGGACCCTGTCCGATCGTTCGTTCCTATTGCAAGTTGATACGATGCAAGCCTCAGGTTTTCCTTGGGACCGGTCAAGATATTTTCGATACGAGAAGCAAGTGGGGAGAGCGGATGATAAAAGATGTAAAGAGCCATTCATGGTGCTCCGCCAGGCAGACAGAATCAAGCAGCAGCCGTACTCCGCTTCCCCGAAGCTGCCCTGGTGCTTCCATGATACCATGTACCATGATACCATGTACACGAAGAAAAACCTGGCCGGCCAACGAAAGTGCCCCATACAGTACTTGCTCCGCGTCATGTTCAGACGTTCCTGAAGGAGACTCGGGGGGCTGAAAGCCTTCAAACTTATCGGGAGTACATGTAAGCCTGCCTCATCATTGATGGGGGAGACGACACCGCCGTTGCACAGTTCCGCGTCTATGCCGAATGCAACCACTGCCTCCCCTTTTTTCTTCGCCCTCTCGGACCCAGGACAGACTCGGTCACTGCAATGGTGCCAATGAGTACGTGCACGATGTGATCTTGAACTGATACCCAGAGCTGCAGATCTCCGCAGACCTACCGCCGGACCTGACGAGGGGTTGGGTACTTGGTACGATGGTCGTACCGGCATCTGCTACGGTTGCATGCAGCGTGGGCCGATGTGTTCGCCCGCCCTGCTTTTCGCCAGCCCGTCGAGTCATACTGCTCTCTACTAGAGCTGCGACGCGACTGACAGGGCCAGCGCAAGGACCATCTCGATCAGGTTTTATGAGCGTACATAGTACATAGTACTTTCTATTGCGGCAGAGGAGATGGCTGGTCGACAGCCGGTAGCCGCAGAATGGCTCCATGGAGGCCGACCTCCACGAGGCCAAGGCTACCGATCACTGTCCAGGCGTTGTCGCAAAGCTGATGGTGGCACTCACAGCCAAGTTGGTCTTTGGTCGGTCTGTTGCTCGGAATCATTGACAATCCTACCTTGCGTCAGAACGCCGGCCATGACAGCAAAGGCATTCCGAAACCCAATCACGAGCATGAAGCGGTGGGAATCGATGAGCAGTCATAAAATCCATTACAATCCAGATAAGCCGAACCAAGGGTATACACGCAGTAAAATCCACACCACACATCGACAGGACATGTAGCAAACACTCTACGCCAGGTCGTCAGCATCCTCCCACCGTTTCGTCGGCAGTCGCCTGATCTTCTTGGGGCTGCCGCCGCTGGCGACGCTTGAGACGCTGGCGTTGCTAACGCGAAGCTGCTCCATCTTGCGACCCAGGCTTCCAGTGCCGCCGTCGGGCTTGCGACTGCCAAAGTCGTCCCGCTCGTGAAGAGGCTGCCTCCGCGTCGGACTCCGGCCAGCAAGCTCACGCTTGAGCACTCCCATCTCGCGGCGAAGACGCTCGTTCTCCTGCGCCAGGTTCTCGACGAGAACGTTCTCCTTGTCTTCGCCGCCTTCCTCGTCATCATCGTCATGGGGTCCGAGACCGCGCTCAAAGAGCTCCATCTTGCGATCCCAGTGCTCTTCGCCGCGCTCCTGCTGGGCCTGCATCGTGGCCTTCCAAACGTGCCACCTCGAGGTCATACCGTGATTCGTACTCGGCGGCACAGTCCTCGCGGATGGTTTGTTCAAGCTCTAGCATGCGGTCTTCCATGCTGAGCAAGTGTGCCTCGGCGGCGACGCGCGCGTCGCGCTCGACGTCGAGGTCCTGGTGCAGGCTGTTGATCTCTTCCTGCATGCGGGCAATCTCTAAAGCGGCGTGCTCCATGATGAACCTGTCGCCATCCGTCGGGCTGCTGGGGGAGATGTTGCGGTGAGAGCCGGACGGTTGAGAGAAGTAGGACCGTTGAGAAGATGCAGAGTTGACGGACAAGAGAGTTTCAGAGTGTGCGTTGGCCGTTGGCATGTCTGCGAGGATCGTGGATGTGATGCTGGGGATGCGAGGTATCGTGACTTCGCGAGCGAGCGCGCTATAGCGAAGGATCTGGGAGGTTGCGTTCACGTCGCCGTGGGCGTCAGCAGTGACGATCATGACGCCTCGTTGCGCGTTTCGACGGGGGACGACGGGGGCAGTGTAAGACGAAGATGTGGTTGAGAAGGAGTTGCTGAAAAGGATTTCGGTCATTTTGCACTGGCGGAATGGCATGACGCTCGGCTGTGGGAAAGATGGGGTCAGTTTTCGTTGGCTGGCTTGCCAATATCGGCGGCCATGACACCGTGCACGTACCTTGCTTGTGTTTCCGAGCCCGCTCTGCGCCTGGAGGCACTGACCCAGGTACATGAGACTCTCGTTGATCTTGCCTGCTTCAGCGAGCGTGCTGCCTTGGGTCTTTGCATCGCGCGCACGTTCGCTGCCAGCCAGATCGACGACTGTCAGCGTGCTGCCGGTCCAGGTGGATGATCTCTGTCCCCTGGTGCGTTTCCTCACTTCGACGCAGAAGAAGCCGTGGCTTCGTGACGACACGCTGTTGCTGCCGGTGCCAGCTACCTGTCGCTCGTGCAGGCCGGCCTCGAGCACAAGAATGGCCTCGCGGAGGCTCTTGCACACAATCTTCTTGAGTCCGGCGACAACCTTCCTGTCGGCGCTTTGCTCTGTAGACTTGAAGAGCAACGGGCGGCGGCGGTATTCCTTGGTGGCGTTGGATCGAATGGGAGGGGTCAGGAGGTCGTAAATCTTGTCGTTGTACACTTCGTACATGGAGAGAACGACGGCATACTCGGCGTTGGGATCGGAGGAGACATTGACGGAGCTGACGTCGGGGATCTGCGGCACGGCAGATGGCCGTTGGAGATGTCTTCGCGGGGTCTGCTGCGCGGGGTATTCACCCTTGATTGGAGATTTAGTCAGATTCTTCTTCGTCTTGGAGGCTGTGGTCAAGGTCATGTAGTGTTTCTGGGGGCTGAGTGTGTTCTGAGAGGGAAGGTGTTTCTGGGGGCCGAGTGGGAGATGCACGGGTGTTGAGGAGGATGTGGGCAAAACCCGGCCTTTCGCGTTCGGGGTCAAGGGCACGACGCGAACGGTCTGCGGCCCAGGGCCGGAAGGGAAGTGACGAGGTGCGGTGGGTGGACGAGGGGTGGCAAAGAAATCAGGAGGGGTGCCTACAAGCATGGGCGTCGGCGCCCGCGAACCGGCGCGCGAGGGACCAGCAAAGTCGGCATAGACGGTCTCGAGGAAGGTGGGTGCCGAAACGATCACGGCATCAGAGGGGTCGGACAGTTGCAGGGACGAGTCGAGATCAGGCGACGAGGCATTGTCGAGCATGTTGAAGCCGATGGACCTGAAGATGACGTCGAGCGACAGCTGCGTCAGGCCGCGCTGGGATCGCGAACCCAGAATGGTGTGCGACTTGCCCGAGCCGGTGACGCCGAGGGTCGCAAGCAGGGCATCGGTGCCTACGCCGCCGTGAGGCGCCAGGACGCCCTCGATCAACGGCGCGACGCCGGTGCACTGGAAGACATCGAGCTGGGTTGCATCTTCTTCGAAGACCTGGGTGAAGGCGAACTTCTCGGTGGAGCGTTTGCGGTCGTTGGGCGGGTTCAGGATGATGTGCGTTGGGTGTTCGGACGTGTCCTCGCGCTCAACAGAGAGGAACTTGTCTGAGGCGGTTGAGCCGGCTGGTGATGGCCGCAGGCGCAAGTAGACCTGGAAGAGGTTGGATGGCGGTTTTGTTGGTGAACTGTCCATGGCGGGTGCGATGTGTATTCCTCCTTGTCCCTCCTGGTCTGTCAAGAAGCGATGTGCGAAGAGAGCAAACGAAAGACGTGAGACGGTTCTGTTTCCTCTAGCAGAAGGGAGCAGAAGGCGGTCGAGTGGAGAGACGTTGACGACAAACCGCTAAGGCGGGACTTGGGAAGGCGCTCGCTGCCGTTGTTTCCTCACGCATGCCACTGTCAAACGCGTGTTTATCTCGAGCTGCCAGCGGTTTCATGTGGGGCGGGGGCTCACGAGGTCGTCGGGGCAACAACCATCCCTGTCCACCATAGCTAACTGAATGGAGACAGAGATGCACCTATCTAGGTCTGAACGGGTACACCGGTCACAGTGAGCAGATCCGCAGGATAAAAGTATCGCACAAGCAAGCATCTTCATGCACCCATGCTGCATGCTTCAACTCTATTCGTGTATTTTCTGCCACCTGACTGTCGACTGAAGAAATACCAGGGCCTGATTCTGCACCCAAGAATTTGGGCCAAAAAGAAATCGCTCATGAGCGAGAATCGGCCGACCTACGCAGGACTCGAACCTACAACCTTAAGCACCGGAAGCTTACGCGCTACCATTGCGCCAGCAGGCCGATTGTGTCTGGCTGGTCAGCGGGAGACCTTCATGACTCTACGAACAGCCCATGTCCAATCATTCGTGATGCTCCCCACTTCTCCTCTGAAGCGACAAAAGTGTTGCCGAGGCGGAATTGACGCCAGGCTCAGGATAAAACTTGTTAACCTGCTGCGTATACAGTGAGATGTGTATCACGGCAGGCCACCGTCGCTCATCTGGAGTCATGGACACAGTCAAACCCGCCGAAGATGACTGACTTGCAGCATGCCGCTTGTCTGACAATAGGTCCAATCTGCGAAACACGACAACTTGTCTATCCCACCACCAGTATGAGCACCTACCTATGCTTGTGCGAAAGAGCCAGTAGCGGAGCCCAGTCGTCCCCTGTCACCTGCGTGCCCGAGGTATTGCAAATGTCATAGTGGAGTTGAGGCGCTGCAGAAGACCATCGTCGAGGTCTCTCTTGAAGGGCAAGCGCCCAGAGGAGACGGCTGCTTCCTGACCTACGATGTGCTTGACGTATGCAGGGAATGATGTGGACAGCCGACGGCTGGCCGAAGCGGGAACCAACACTGATCGGTTGATCTTCACAGATCGGCTGGTCAGGCCGGTTATGATGCCACCGACGGATTTACAAGTGCACCGTGAGCATGAAATCATCAAATCGCCTCAATTCCTGCAAATAGCTAGGTCTACATACCGTCCCTAATCATCGCATTGATAAGCCTCACATGTCGATCAGCGTTCGTCGTGCTCCACTCGTTGTCGTAGTTCAACCCATACGGCCAAATGTGCGAGCCGCCGCAGTTGATCACGGCACTCGCGCCGTCCCAAGAGCGAAGCAGCGGCAGAGCTGTCGCCCAGTCGCCGGCCGCGCACTTCCTGTTGAACGCCGCCGTCTGGCCGATGCCGAGGGTGTGCGAGATCTCGTGGAGCGCCGTGCGCTCGTTCATGTACGCCCTGTTGGTGCCGAAGCGCACGTCGCCGTTGTAGCTGGCCTCGGCCGTCGGCACGCCGGGCGTGTAGTAGACGCGGAGCGTCTTGGTGGCGGTGCCGAGCCTCGAGTGCCGCGCGACGGCGAGGCGCATGGCCGCCTCGATCTTGGCGTACGCGTCGGCCTGATCGGTCGTGGGGTTGGCGGCCTTTTGGAGCGACCAGCTGATGGCCCCTGAAACGACGGAGGCGTACGCCGCGGCAATGGTGATGAGAGACAACTTCATTTTGACGCGCAGCGTTGAGAATCAGGTCAAAAATTATGATGAAATCGTAGGAGGAACTGCTAGAGACAGACTGTTCTGTGTTGTCCGCGGAGACGAAAACGGGAGGACTTGACACTATCATACTAACCTACTTATACAAGAGTGCCCATATCGTGAGGTCTGCGTGATGCTTTGAAGATCATCAACCGTCCGTAGTCACCTTCCATTTACGATCTCGCTGCCGAATTGACCATATACGCGCCAATCGCTATGGCTGAATATATCTAGGGTCGGACCCTGCAATGCCGATCTGCGGAGCGTTCGTCCTCGTTCGGCCGACACTGAACATTGACACGATACCGAATGAATCGAGAGACCAGTGACAGCTCGAAATCCCATAGGCCAGACTATTGTGAGCGATGCCTCACGTGTTCGGGAAAATCGACATGCGACGTCGGCACTGATTGCGGACGCTTGGCCCGGACCTAACACTAGGCGTGTCATCTACATCAAACAACTTCCGCAGAAGCCGGTTGCACTGCAATTGCCAATGCGGGGAAGTGGCAGATTGCCGGACGCATTTACACCGACTGCGACTGTGAAATCAATCAAGAGTTGCCCCTATTGCTGACCACATACGCAAAGAGCCGAATCGGGGCCATGAACGACGCTGGCTTGGTTGGTGGGCAGCAAATGGGTAAATTGTTCAAATAAATTGGCCATGAGATGAAAGACTAAAGTGCTACTCGACCGACATACAAGCCCTGTCGCGGGAAACCCGAAGTCGATTCCGGACGACCTAGAAGGGCGTTCTTGCTGGTCTTGATCAATAAGGCACTACAGGAGAGACACTATCCTCTTAACCGTGAGTAGGTTTCTCCTGCGTCACAGCAGGCTCAGTCCAGGCCTCGTCGCTGTCCGTCCGCCGCCCTTCTATGCTGTTGCCCTCTTCAATGCCGCCCGACGAGAGCATGACGGTCTCGCCGATGAAGACCTGAGGTGCAACGGCGTACTTGCCCTCGCCGGCCTCGAGCCTTCGCGCGGGAACGAGGCAGTTGAAGAACCGCGGGAACATGAACAGGCCGACGATAAAGACCATGACCATGTGGAAGAGGATAAAAGAGTATAGGTAGGCCGGGTCCTGAGCGAACTTTTCGTCGCGGAACTTGGAGTACGCGAAGGAGAAGACGAGACCCACCGCGGGTGCCGTCAGGTATTTCAGGATAACGGGCCAGGCCCAGTGAAGGCGCCAGTTCTTTCCGGTCAGGATGGAGGCGTTCATGTCGCGACGAAGTTGGTTGCCCTGTTACGACCGCGATCAGCCAGGAGCGCCTAAAGGGAGGGGCGAAGAGGAGAGCCGCAGGATGTTGATCACTTACCGAATAGAATGCAGAGTACCAGAAACGGCTCAGAACGGTACTACGCCCCCAGAAACTCGGGGCCGCCACCGTAGGTGCCTTGCCGAAGAAGGCAGATGAGACAGCACCGGCAATGAAGATGCCGAATGCTACGCCGGCACCGGCTGGGGGGCTGACAAGATGACCAACAAGGATGCCGATGAAGTGGGCCAGGAAGTAGCCGCCGTTGAAGAGACCGTAGCTGACGTATCCAACCTGGTCCACGGGATCCCTCCAGCGGTACAGAGTGGTGGCGAAGAAGGATTCAAACCAGACGGTGAAGAAGAGAGCCAGGTCGTTGACAAATGTATCAATGCTGTCCAGGAAGTAAAATCCAAACTCGCTGCAGTAAATCAACGAGATGAGGAATGACATGATGGCAACGGCAGTGGCCACAACCCAACGAGGTACTCGCTTACCCCAGTCAGTGTCGCAGATCATGGTGACAAGGACTTCGAACAGTGCAAACGCGGAAGTCAGACCGAGGAGGAAGAGAGTCATGAAGAAGACAACCGAGAAGAAGTTTGCACCCGGCATCTGGGCAAGGGCTTCAGGATAGGTAAAGAAACCAGAACTGAAGGTGCCGAGTCGGTTGGCAGGATCGGGCTCGATTTGCAAGAATCCGATGATGCCCATGACGGCTAGGGCAGCAATGATCTCAATTGCCGAGTTACTGAGAGCGATGATGAAAGCGTCCTGTACGGCGTTGGAGTACTTCGAGCTGTATGATGCGTACGACGTAAAGTAGCCGAACCCGACACCAATGGAGAAGAACATCTGACCAAAGGCGTCCTGCCAGACACCGGGTCCCTGCAGAGACTCGGTCCGCCAGACGCCAAGGTAGAGTCGGTAGCCTTCGGACGCGTTCGGGAGCGACAAGGACCGAACAGTCAAAATCAAGATCATGACCAGCGGCATGGCCATGGTGGAATAGATGACGCGTCCGGTCAGACCGACACCCTTGAACATGCACATCCAGACAATGAACCAGGTGAAGAAGGTCCATCCGGCAGTCTCCCCTACGATGCCGGTGCCTGGGTAAGAGAGCATGTCTCCTGCGTCTTTATCGCCGATGGGTGCTTGGTTGCGCACAACATTGTCGAAGAAGAAGTCTTGGGTGTTCTGGCCAGCCCAAGGCAGGGGACTGGTGAAGGAACGGCGGAAATAAGACATGGCCCAGGCTAGAATGGGGACATAATAACCGACAACAGAATAACCGTTGAAGACCATGGCAAAGCCAACGCCCTTGGCCCGGTGGTTGAGGTTGTTCCACGCAGTCACGCAGCCGGCTCGGTAGGCCTGGCCCATGACAATCTCGAGTGTGAGGATGGGGATACCGATCAGGAACAAAGCTATGAAGTAAGGGATGAAGAACTGCAGTCCGTAGTTGTTGTAGATGACGGAGGGGAATCGAAGGAGGTTTCCAAGACCGACGGCACCACCCATGGCGCAGAGAATGAACTGGGCGCGGGAGTTGAAGTTGTCGCGGCCATCTTCGTCTTTCTTAGCGTCTGGGGCAATAAAGAGGTAGATTCGTTTGCCTATGCCCATTTTGGGCCGCTCCTGCTGGGTCGCCATGCTTGCAGGCGCTTGATGGGAATGAAACAAAAAAGACGAAGGACCTGAGTTGAGTTGGGTTGAGAAGGTGAGGCAGCGGAAGACTTGAAAGAGAAGCAGAATGGAACCGATAGATTGGAGGTTCCGGGAGACCAGCTATATGTATCTGAGTCCTTCTCATACCTCCTCTACATAACCTTTCCTCTTGCTTGCAGGGCCCGGCGCTGTGGGCAAGCATAAAGGAGCCCCATACACTCGAAGGTCTAGCTCCAATTATGCAGCCAACAAGAGACTCTGGGGAATTAGAGCCTTGATGATCGTACACACCTACTCTATACGGCAGGTAGTTTAGGGTTGGCCTCATATTGCGGTCGAACCAAGACACTTGGCACATGGCCAAAAGCATGGTTCGCTATCACGGTGATGCCTCGATGGTCCTTGGCATAGTCTAATACGGTGGGAAGATTTGCAGGGTAAGCTGAGAGTGGGCCTATAGAATGCTTCTGGTGTTTTTCTCAAGGAACTTGGCAATCACTTAGCAAAGGATTGGCATGCCATGGGATAGGTCTGCGGCTGGCTTGGAAAAGCTGCGATTGGACCTTGGCGGTCACGAGGGAACGCGCGGCGAATGTCAAGAAAAGGCTCGGCGTCGTGCTCTCTCCCTGGCTTCCTGATAAAGCGACCACCTCGACTCAGCTTTGAGGTTGCACACTGACCGCATGCGGGACTGTGGCGGGTATCTGCGGACTGGGCGCCTCGGCGGAGGAGTGGATCAAGCCGTCATGGCCATTCGGGCTGCCGTTTGTGGGGGAGACGGTACGGTTCCGGTCGGGTCACCTCGGTCAAAGTATCCTTAACGATTTGCAATGGTATTAACTCTTCAGGTGATCCTGCTCGTTGATTCCATTGCCACTTGTATCTCTGCTAGGAAACTCAGTATCGAAGTACAAAAGTACAATGGCCACGTAAGGTGACACCCTCATGATAAGCATCTGTCTCATCGTAACGGCAGTAGAATATGCTGGCAGAAGGCATCAGAAGATAACGTGGTAAACGGATCAATATCTATCTTCGCCCATGATGAACAAAGCACGTCAGTTCCCCGCACCGGGGCAGTTGAGGCACCCAAGACCTATACATTAGTCCTTGAACACCCGAGCTACGCCCAAAGAGCTGTGCCTTCGCTTGTAACCGTGCGGCATTCGCCACCTCCATTGATGTTCTGGAAGGGCAGCAGCTGAGGAAAGGCCTGGGACTGGCCTTGGCCTGCAGACAAGCCAGTCATACAAGATGTTGCATTAGGCACAGAGCGTTTACGAGGGCATGTATATACTGTAGGTAGTTTAAGAAGCTATATGCTGCAATGTACATAATTCATAGACAGGTGTGACAAAACTTGGTAACAGTGACCGGAAAGAAAACATGAAGACATCAAAAACCAGCGTTGGCAGACTCTTCTCAGTTGCGCACAACGCGCGGCCTCCTGCGGCAGCCAGAACTTCCTCCCTCGCGAAGCGTGATGATCTTCTTGACGGCATGCTCCGCCGCAACCATAACGATGGCCTGGGTGTTACCCGTAGACAGGTCAGGGTGGAACGAAGCATCGACGACAAACAGGTTGTCGGTACCGTAGAATTTCGTATTGAGGTCAACCACGGCGCTGCCGCCCTCGCGACCGTCGTCGGTGCCCATCTTGGCGCTTCCCTCCATGTGAATACCTGACTGGACGGGCGTGTCGAGCACGACCTGCGCTGTGGCATTCTTTCCGCCCGAGAAGGAGATAGGGCTGTTGGGCTGGCGCGACAGGTCGAATAGCTCGTTAATGGCGATGGACCAGGCCTCGCGATCCGTGTCGGTGTTCGTCCAGGGCGCCTTTGTGATGAGGGTGTTGCCGGCAGCGTTGATCGCGAGATCGCCGCGAGAGGTGAGGCCGTGGCTCATAAGCATCATGAACCGAGCGGTGTCGTTGCTTTGCGAGTTGACGTGCGACTGGAACATGACGACCGTGGCCGTCGGATGTATTGACCTGGCGGAAGAGGTCAAGGCGCTGGAGAGACTGTGTCAGGACACCAGAGCCCGCGTTGAACAAGGCCTTGTCCTCCTCCGTAGGGTTAGCCAGCTGGGCGCTGCTGTAAGTCGTCAGGCCACCGGTGACATTGAAGGTTATCTCGTAGCGAGAATGGTCCTTGACGTCAAGGCCGACTGGCAAGTTGATCCACGCGCTCTCCTCTGGGAGCGTGATACCCGTTGTGCCAGACTTGACTGTGTTGATCTGCGCAGTGGGGCCAATACCAGAGTTGAACAGGACACGAGGGGTGGACATGACACCAGCGGCGAGAATGACGGCACCTCCAGCCTTCAGGTTGATGATCTGACGGCCCTGCGCATTCTCAACTTCAACACCAGTGATGGTAGAGTTGTTGCGGATGGCACGGATGACCTTGGTGTTGAGCTCGAGCTTGAAGTTGGGTTTGGCTTGGGCCAGCGGCAGGTATGTGTGGATGGGACCGGAACGAAGGCCATTGGCGATCTTGTTTGTCAGATAAATATTCGAGAAGCTTAACTAGGAGAAGTAACATACAGAGATCTAGCTACGCCTCCCTGAAGAAGAGGGCATCTTGATTTAACATATTAATTTGAGTGTTTAAGCTACGAGATCACCACCAGTCCCCGCGATCACGACTATATCACTTTCATTCGTCTCTTTCGGTTTCCATAAGTCTCTGGTAACCCAATCGTTGTCTCAATTGTGTTTGAGCCTTTCTCTTAGTCATCGCGGAGCCCTCGGCAACCACATGACGATCCCTCGGGCCGGTCTCCTTCCATTAAGTAAGGTACCTTTAGTATCCAGGTAACGGGAGCGTATCCCGTCCCACACTATCCGTCTTACGGCATCCGTTCCAATGAACACCCCCTCATGGGACACGACTTTCGCTACAGAGCCCCATGACGGCACAATCTTATCGCTAGTCCATCTTGTCCCGCCTTACACATGTTTGCTCCCTTGCTACCTAGCTAGAGACATATCGAAACGGCCTCGTTGACCCGTATGTATCAACGGATTGGGTACCGATGCATCGACATCCGATGACGATGAACCTGTTAATGGGGAAAGGTGTCCCCTGTCAACGGGTTTGACTTGAGATTCTTTAGCGACATCTCAAAGTGAGTAGAATTGTAACTATAATGACTTGCAACACAAATTCAGCAATGATGCGACTTAACAGAGCCTGGCCATGCACCAGTTCTCCAAGAGCCTTTCACGGCATCACCGCTTCCCCAAACAGGAGGCAACTCACCAGCCTCGCTGGAAAACCAGCGCAGACGGGAGAAAGGTCCCCAGAGCCGGCAAAAGCGAAAGCGCCACTTTCCGTACTCCCCAACACCGTCCTCCTGAGATCTTGGTTCCTCGCCGCCATCTCATCCAAGCCCCATCTTCTCCACGCTTCACTGGCGTGCCTGTTATGGCTTACAAGCACACCTGGCGGCATTTTCGTCAACGTGAACAAGAGTCCCGTCTTACATTTCGTTCGGAAGAATACCTTCTATAAGCAATTGTGCGCCGGAGAGACGGCGTCCGAGGCGAGGAGGACCCTTCGACAGACGAGAGACTTTGGATTTCGCGGGACGATTCTCACATACGCCAAAGAGACCTCTTTCGATCAAGTAACCAACAAAGTCCATCGGCAACGGGCGGCAACTGAAACAAACAGGGGCGAATGCGAATACATCGGGCCCTGGGCCGAAGGAACACTCGAGACAGTCGACCTGCTGGGTGAAGGCGATCAGCTCGCTCTCAAGTAAGCAAGGAACTCCCGCTTTGAGATGGCCGGAAATTAACCCAGGGACAGGCTGACTGGAGCTGGTCCTCTCGTCTGCGATGCGTTGACCGCAGGACGGCTTCCACCAAAAGCGATGATGGACGTACTTCACGAGATTTGCCGCGGGGCGAGGAACAAGAATGCCCGCGTCATCATCGACGCCGAGTCCCAGCATTACCAGAAGGGCAATTTCCTGGTGGGGATGGAGCTGGCCCGCATCTATAACCGTGACGGTTGTGCACGGATTTACAATACGTATCAGGCATATCTGAAGAGCGCGGCGGCAACCCTAGACACGCACCTGAAGCACGCCGCAGGGGAGGGTTCACGCTCGGCCTGAAGCTCGTCCGGGGGGCCTACATGTCTTCAGATAAGAGGTCTCTGATCCAAGACACCAAGCAGGACACGGACAATGCGTACAACGCCATCTCGCAGGGGGCGCTCAAGTGCAAGATTGAGAGGTTCGGTGCGCCGGGTGGGCTCTCGTTCCCGTCCGTCGACCTCTTTCTTGCGAGTCACAACAGGGAGAGCTTGGTGACGGCGCACAGGACACACCAGTCCCGCGTGCAGCTGGGTCTGCCCACTGTTCCACAGGACTTCGCCCAGCTGCATGGCATGTCTGATGATTTGAGCTTTGATCTGGTGCAGATGGGGGCACGTGGCGACCATACACCGGGCGTATACAAGTGCTCCACACGGGGAACCCTCGGACAGTGCCTGGCTTATCTGATGAGGAGGGCAGCGGAGAACAGGGATGCGGTTTCGAGGAGCAGTGATGAGTATCGAGCTCTGAAGAAGGAGATCCGAGGACGGCTTGGGTTTAGGCGTTAGCTCCCTAGGTACCTATCTTCCTTGCATACGAAGGTAACTTGATCAGGAATACTGGCTATGAAGATATGTCGGAATCATGTCCGACTCTGTGGCTATGAGTGCGACAAATCGGGAGGCGACCCGTTGATGCCCAACTTTTCGTGCGGGAAGCATGGTGTAGTGAAGCTGGGCAGACAGCGCAATGCTGGTGTAGTGCGGGGATGCGGGGATGCGGGGACGCCGAGAAAAGCGCGTCACGGCACCACCCTTGCCACCCCGGCTTCTGCTTCCGACTCCGCCGCCAGCCCCCGCTTCTCCGACATTCAGTGCAGTCTTTCCGAGTTGAATCACCAACTTACATTTAATATAAGCATAAGAGCCAAGAAAGACCGTCAGAGTGTCTTTCACGTACAAGTCAATCAAGATGGGAGTCGAAGAAATGGATGGCTTGACGCTGTGTATGCTGGGCTGTGGTATGTTACACATCGTGTGCTATCTGAGACCATCCATCCTCCTTCTGACGTGTCCAATTCTAGGAAACCTGGGTCTCGCGATCCTGCAGAACCTTGTGAACCCCCCTGAAACGGCAGATGCCACAAAGCTGCCTATCCAGCACTTCACCGTCTGCGTCCGCAGCAGCGCGACTGAACAAAAGCTGGCAGACAAGTTCCGCACTAACGCAGACACCGTCATCGTATCTTCCGGCAAAAATCTGCAAGCACTGAAGAAAGCCGACGTAATAATTCTTGCAGTCGATCCCGCCGATATAGTATCAACCCTCAAAGAGCAAGGCGTAGCTGAAGCCTTATCGTCCCCTCATAACGGCCGCCCAAAGCTCCTCATCAGCGTCGCCGCAGGTTGGACTCGGCAGGACCTCGAAAAGACCATCTTTGGCACGCCAACCGATACTTCTAATGCCGAAAGCGGCCGTGCATGGATTATACGGACGCTGCCCAACATCGCCGCCCAGGTAACCCAGTCCCTGACCGCCATTGAGATATCGGATCCCACCCCCCCAAGCTGGGCCCTTGAGCTGTGCGACACCATATTCACTCAGATTGGCAAGACGGTTCACATTCCTCCTGCTCTCATGGACGCTACGACAGCCGTTGCTGGCTCGACTCCTGCCTTCTTCGCTGTCATCTGCGATGCCCTCATAGACGCAGCCGTCGCCGTTGGCGTGCCCAGGCCTCTGGCTCATACTATGACGTTCCAGTCCATGCTGGGCACGGCTACAATGATGCAAGGTGGCCTTCATCCCGCCTTATTCAAGGATCAAGGGAGTTTTACGGCGGGTTGCGACATTGGAGGTTTCATGGTCTGGGAAGATGGGGCAGTGAGGGGGCATATGGGCAAGGCCTTGAGGGAGGCTGTCACGATCGCTCGGCAGATGGGCAAGAACCCCCACGTCAACGATACTCGTCAGTAGGGGAGCGTTCATAGGGCATCAGGCTCATTCTGGTCTTCGTGGCTCTGCGTTGCCGGCACTGTGGCATCGGCCGCCGTTGCTTCCGGTCGATGAAGGGGGGCCACAGTCCCAAAGAGTTCCAGTAACTCATCCAGTTGCAGAAGCTCGTCTTTACGGAACTTGGCCACTTGGTTTCCGCAGTTGATCATGTCATCAAAAACGACAAACGCCCTCTGCCGCCATGTCCGACCCCCATTGATGAACTGCGGGTCTACTGCTGGGCCGAGGAGCAGGTTCGTAGTAGACACAAAGATAGCTTCAGTGTCATAAGGAAAGAATGCACCTGGTGAATGAGCCTCCCTGAATTCATGTGAGACGCCGAGGCGAGCGATCACTTACCGAGCAGGCCCTGATTCATCAAGCACTCAAGAATAGAGATCATGGTCTGAGAAGACTCAAGACATATTCTTACGAGGTTTCGTACCGTTGGCAGAGACTCCAAAGTGCTGAAGTACTCGTTGAATGGAGCGAAGCGTGTCTTGAGAAGGTAAACAAGAAGCGGTCGCATCACGAGCGTGATGCACAAAACGATTGGTCAGGACACCTAAAATCACCCAAGGGTCGAAGAACGCTTACCATGTGATACAACAAATGCAAGTGGGAAGCTGTCCTGGAAATTACGTCCATGATTTCCTTCGGCTTAAGGGAAACGCCGTCCTAAGCTCCTCTGCGACATCAGCGATATTGCCGAGGATATCTTTGGCTCGAGAAAGGTATTTCCGATGCAAGTTTCCTCCGCCCCCGTAAAGTCCTAATTCAGCTGCTTAATAATGATGCCACGAATATGCGGCTGATGCTCTTACTTTTGTTGATGTCAGCGATGTTGCGGCACAGCTTGACTTGCATCTCAAGCGTCGCCATTCGTTGCATCTGGCCGTCAAACTTGGGCAGGGGGCAGTTGACGTCGTCGTCTTGGATCGTCAGCGGGAGACCCATTAAGGACGTGAATTCACGATCCAGTATGTAGACCGTCCACCATGCCCGCCGGCAACGTTCCACGTAGCGATCACCAAGCTCCAATGGCGGCATTTCGGTGTGCCAGCCTTGAAACAGTGATATTCTCAGGGCCTCCCCAATCTTTGAATACTGTTATCTCGCGTCCTAATCACGTTGAAATGCACCTTTTCTTACCATAGAGTGGGCGTAATAACGATGATCGATGCATTGTAGGCAAAGTACTGCACAGCAGAGAATTTCCACCGAGAGAAGCGGCTGCTGGATGAGAGCTCCGGTATTGGGGAACTGCCGAAATACCGATAGCAGAAACTCTTGTCCGAAAGGCAACTTACTTCCGTGCCGTCGCGACTGAAACGCCTTTCCGAGTGCAATGACGAGGCAGAAGTGGATGTACCACAGGCCAGCGGATGCAATGTCGTGGGTCGGGTTTGCATAGAACTGGTGACACGGTTCCATAAACTCTGCCCTGTCGAAGAGGTGAAACAGCTGACAGCAGTTGAACTGAACTGTGTTGATCAAGAAAATGGCGTGGTAAAGCGTCGGAAGTTCGGGCAGAAGATTCGGGTCATCTGAACCCGTCTTAGGCGTCCCCAGTCAATTTATAGACCCCGCCATCAGAGATGAGAGCCTGTGGAGGCGCCGGAGAGTTGCAGACTTGCGATTGGGTAAGATTCAGAACCCGGCGAGTGAAGGACCAGTTGGAAGAGGTGCCCAGGTAATCTGACTGTCAGAATCATGTTGAATAGCCAGTGGTGGTGCCAGCCTGGAAGACTCACATGTGACTCCCGCAGCGGAAGTCGTAAATTCCGCATGTCGGAGAGAGAGAGGATTCTCCACAGCGAGTGAAGCTGGTTCAGTGTGATCCGGAGATTCTTGCGGCGCCGGCGCTTGGAAACCTATGTCTTCTGACCTAGGCGTGGCATACGTGTTGGAGGGGCCGCTATGGCAGACGCTTGGCGATGATAAGAGATGGAGATGCTGGAAACGTACCAATGCGGGGTACGATGGGGGTGTTGGGTATGACTCGCCCAGGTACCGCACCTTGTGCAGCTCAGCGTCTCATGGGCGCCTGCCATTCTTAGGTTGACCTCGAGGGTTCTTGCTCTATCACGAGTTGAGGAGATGTACTGAAATTGAAAGAGATTTACTGAAACTCTAGGATTATGTCTTACCGGAAATCCTCGTTATTTTGTTCCCTGATTTACCTCAATTGAGATGAAAGGCTTGGTTCCCTTCCGACCTCAAATGCCTTTTCTATGGGAACAGGAACCTATCCCATCACTTGCCACTAGACGTGACCTGGTTCACCTACTATCTTAGGTACTGACTTACTGGGAGTGCAAACCATCACTAACCACCTAAATATTTGACGAGTTGACCGACATGGAAGGTTTCTTGTGTGGTACATTTCATCATTCCATACAACACCTTCAGGTGCTGTCTAACAACCTACAATGGCAACAAGCGACTTCAGCGCTGGGCATACAATAAAGCTACCTCAGGTACCACGGGGTACCCCTAAGATATCTAGGTAGGTACCGTAAATAGCTACCATTCTGCCAAAACTTCGCTGCGACTTTACCCATACATAACAGTCTCCATTAAGGATGTCGACAAATTGCATTCCAATCGGCTTGCCTTCTTTCATGCGACAGCCAGGTTCACTCTTATACATGTACTGCGCGGTTGGACGTGGTGCTGTGCAGAACGAAAGTGACCATCCATACACCATACCACGCTCCCTTCATGATCATTGAGTATTTCTCTGGACCAGTGATAAGAACCACACATCTATCAGCCCGTTGTGCAAGAGCCGTTGTCGTGCGTAAGTACTGTCAAAAGCGCCGCGATGATACTCCGACATTATCAGCGGAAGTCAACAATCAGGATGCGGAGCGTGTGGTGGAAACCAGAAGACAGGCCCATGACCGGCATTTTAAAACTCGGCGCGATGACCGGCCAACTTCGAGTCAAGGCGACCAACTTCTGCGAAAGTTACGACCCGCTCAATGCTCCTCCACAGGGCGGCACACGGCAATGCTTGACTGGCAATCAAGCTGCTGATGGCAGATCGGAAGGGAGAGTCAGTCCTGCTATCACACCCTCGCTTCCCTGCCCCGCCGGACCCATTTCCGTCTGCCCGCTCCACTATTGCGAACTGGGACGCAGCTACAACATTCTCGGTCGTCGCGCGATATTTCATCTACCTAAAGCTAGGTAAGGAGGCTGAGACGGCTTGACAAGCCTCCGCCGCATCGCAGTGGGCCTCAACCCCCATGGGGAAGCGCAGCGCTATCAAGGCTGACGTTCTTCAACAAGCAGAGCCGTTGACGATTCGGGCGTGGGTTTGAGGATGTTGCGATGCAAAACATGGCGGCAGTGGAGTTCATACGACATCGGGAGGTGATCCGTTCCTATGGACGTAACCTCGGGTGGCCTTCCGTGGTCCACAGCACCCCGGCAGATGATAGCTGGAATGCCTTTTGAAGACGCTGAAACGTCATCCCTTTGAGACCGAGTTCAGTCTCAGTACAAAAAGCCGACCATGAGCCGGGCCACCGCCTTCATAATAGGTTTAGCACCGTTATAGCTCGAAGTCTTCCTCAGTACCTATAGCCTTGAATCAGTCTTGCATAACCCACTAGATTCTTCACTATATACCCTAGCACACCTGATGTCATTAGGTGCCCATAGTACTATGGCTTATTTGTGAATGTATTGTGGGCTGTTCTTGAGATTTCATTGGCTATATAGCTGATTTCTGCTATGTTAACTGGGTCCTTCTATACGTACTTTTTGTACTGAGACTGAATTCGGTCTTAAAGGGATGGCTGGGAGATGTGGAACGGTCGGAACGGCTGCTTTTCGAATGCAGGGAATATCGCTGCCCCGTGGGCAAGTATCTTGATTCATGAATACAGCGAGGCGTTGATCTTCATGTTAATTGTCTAAGCTTTCCTCGGGCTCTCCGTGGTACGGTCTCATATATCAAGCATGGAGAACATGCTTTCCCCAGGCTTTATTGTTTAATTAATTCTGACATTCCCATTTCGTCAAAGTCCTTGCGTGTGACAATACATCCAATACATCAGGCAACATGTTGAAAACATGGAGTCACAAGTCTAAACTGCAAGAAAGTGGCTTGCGTTCCTCTGAGCTCGGCGAGGTCATCGACGACCCTGCCTCATCTCACGATGCTGTCTTTGGTGACATATCGGGGAAAGGCCCTAACTACCGAAATGTGAGCCCTTTCCCATGTTTGGGAACCACCAATGAGGGGCAGAAATCTGATGCTAAGTAGGTGGGATGGCTTGGTACTGTAGCCCTCATGATGAAGACACAGATCGGACTTGGCGTCCTGTCGATCCCCGCTGCGTTCGACACGCTGGGTATCGTTCCGGGTGTCCTCGTCTTGTGTGCCATTTCTGCCATCACGACATGGTCGGACTACATCGTCGGCGTCTTCAAGCTTAGGCATCGCGAGGTGTACAGCATCGATGATGCTGGCCAGCTTATGTTTGGTCGCATCGGTCGGGAGGTTATGGGCGTTGCGTTCTGTCTTTGTAAGTCACGGACCTCGTATGTGAGGAGGAAGTCCTGAGTCCTGCTAATCGTAGAAGACTGGATCTTTGTAGCTGGATCGGGCATGCTGGGCATCTCCATCGGCCTCAATGCTGTCTCAACCCACGGCACTTGCACCGCAGTATTCGTCGCCGTAGCCGCCATTGTTGGATTTCTCTTTGGAAGCATCCAGACCCTCGGCCGCATCAGCTGGCTGGCATGGATCGGTCTGATTTGCATTCTTTCATCCAGTCTGTCTTCTTCAGGACCCATTTGATGTCAATCTGGACCTCCTCTGACCTTCTCGCTCGCAGTTCTCACCGTGACCGTGGCAGTCGGTATCCAGGACCGCCCTGCCTCTGCGCCGCAGACCGGCGAGTGGTCCTCTGACTTCAAGATCATCAACCACCCATCTTTCACTGAGGCAATCACGGCGGTCTCAGCCATTGTCTTTGCCTTCGCCGGCACACCGGCCTTCTTCGCCATTGCGTCGGAGATGCGCGACCCCAAACTCTACACTCGGTCCCTCATCATCTGCCAGTCAGGCGTCACGGCCATCTATATTGCGATCGGCTGTGTCGTATACTATTTCTGCGGCTCGTTTGTGGCGTCTCCTGCGTTGGGGTCTGCTGGAACAACCATGAAGAAGGTGTGCTATGGCCTGGCTCTGCCGGGCTTGATGGTGACGACCATTCTTGTGATCCATGTGAGTTTCCCACCATCCCACCCTGTCTCGCCTTGATCAGGTCCCAGAAGCCGAGCTGATCTCCGGAAAGCTTCCTGGAAAATACATGTTCGTCCGCTTCCTCCGCGGCACCAAGCACCTTGCGTCCAACACAATCATTCACTGGGCCACTTGGTTCGGGTGCACCTTTGGCGTGACAGCCATCGCTTACATCATTGCCAGCGCCATCCCCGTGTTCGGCGGCCTCGTGTCCCTGATCGGCGCGCTGCTTGGTACCTTCCTGTCGTTCATGCCAATGGGTTGCATGTGGTTCTACGACAACTGGGCCAGGGGTAAGACAGAGAAGACGTGGAGCTGGAGGCTGATGGTTCTCTGGAGCGTCTTCGTCATCGTGTCTGGAACGTTCCTGATGATTGCAGGAACGTACGGGTCCGTCGTGGGTATCATGGATTCGTACAAGGAATCTGGAGGTTCGGCGGCGTTTTCCTGCGCCGATAACTCGAACTCGACTTGAGTGACGCGGCTGAGTCTGAATGATATCCTCGTACTGTACTGTCTCGGTGAAGTGTCGGTGAAGATAGCAAGGCTAGATTCCTATTAAAAGCGCCCGTTAGATGTGCCTGGTCGATGGTCCGTCAGCACAGTGTCATGGTTGCCGAGGGAGGCGCCGTCTTGCAATGCGAGTTCGAACTCGTTCTCGGGTGGCTCCAGGCATCTGCTTATAGGGACCTCGCAGGCCCTGAGCACGGCCTATGTTCGTGACACGGGGCACCTCCAACGTGCAGCTAGCCCCCTTTTGGCTGTCGTTCCCATCGAAGCAAAAGATTGCGGCACTTGGATGAAAAGCCGCGCCTTCCTGTCTTACGCAGCTTGAGAGGTCGAAAAAACTGTTCAGAGGCATAGCTAATGCCGAAGCCAAAACCGGCCGCCCGGAATTGTGACGAAAAACCCGAGGAGTCATACAATGTAAATGTACACATCATATCGCACAGAGATACGCCTCCTGTGGCCCAGATTTCTGTTGGCGGCGACGCTGGGATGATTGTTGAGGAAAGCGCCGAGGTTGTAGGCAGGTTGTCATCGTGAGAACGGAGTACAGTGGAAATTCGGAACTGGACAGAAGCAGACGACACACCAAGACAATTTGCAAAGTGGGTGTAGCCCTCGTATGTGTGACAACTTAGGGGTCGTCCTTCAGTGAGTACCCAAGAGATGGTGATGATCACCACGCGTGCAGTCCTCACCGACCACACCAGTCTGACACCGAGCTCACCGAGCCCAAGGGCGTCTTTGACAGAGCTCCCCTCACAACGACGTAATGCCTAGAGCTTGCTATAAAAGGGCGAAAAAAAATAGAGTTAAATTTGAATTTCCATAGAGTTTTCTACAAAGCATACCGTTGCAAAGGAACTACGCTACTCAAAATCATCTTGTTGCCATCACCAACACAATGTCCCTCGGACCAATCCCTGAGACCATCACCGGCAGCTGCCTCTGCACAGCGCTCCGCTACAAAATCACATTTCCCCCTTCCCACGACTTTGCCGCAGCCAGTCGCCTCTGTCAGTGCACCCAATGCCGCAAGCAGACAGGCGGCCTCTTTCTCGCCGTCTTCTTCATCCCCGCCTCGGCCCTCGCCTGGACGACGACAACCGAGGCGCTCAAGACATACTCCGCGACGCCGGGGGCGCAGCGCGGGTTCTGCGGAAGTTGCGGATCGTTTCTGTACTGGAGGTCTGACGAGGGCAAGGGATTGAGCCTGTCTATCGGGACGGTAGATCCGCTGTACCTGTTCGGCGAGGGGGCGAACGAGAAGGGCGGGGAGGTGCC